ACGAGGTAGGTAGATATAGTGACTACGTAAAATGGTTCAGCCTTAGAAGGCGTGAAAAGAGAAGTTGATCTCTGCGGTAGTTGTCTTTCGACGTGCAAGAGAGTCAAAGAATACCAGCGAGGTTCGAAACCTCCTGCCGTACACTCAGTCGTTTAGGTCTGAGCAGGGTAAATTCTGGTAGGATTTTTCAACGGCCCCTCTGTCAAGAAGGTTGCAGCACCGCCTACTTCCTGGTTGCTTCAAGAGCGGACTACCAGGTGAGAATAATGATTTATGTACTAAGGGAATACAAGGGTCGCAATCTACAGTTGTAGTCACGTGATTACCCAGGTGGAGGAATGGAGTGCGATAGAAAAAGTAACTAGGAATGTGGAATTCGGATCCCTCCGAATGAGGTCTTGAGCGAGTAAGAGTAGAGTAGAGTGAGGAACGAGGTGGTTGCCGTCGAGTACAACGGACTTGAGAGAGGTGAAGAGTGGGTGGAGGACGAGGCAATGCCTGTCGAGAGAGTGCGAAGGGGCAAGTTTCGAATTATGATAGGACTCAAATCAATTTAGAAATGAGCAGGTAAAACCATTCGAAACTTGGAGTTAATCCGAAGTTCGTCTGGTGTATATATACAACTATTATCTAAATACATGTGGTAACAATGTGTTCGTATGTACTTATGGTATCGGTCAGGTTCGAGCATGGATCAATGAATGTGTTTGGGCAGGTTTTAATAAGTGATTACAAATGAATAACGAGAGGGAAAGGTGTGTTCGTAGATCCGAAATGAAAGTGATCGTAACAGTCAGAGCCAGCTCCTAACAAAATGTGCGCGCCGTCCTCATGCAAAGAAGCGCAGTTGAGGCACTGACGAATCCAAATACCCAAGCCGATCGGATCCCTGTGTAGAAGATACGGCCCTAACCTGCATCATATAACCCAACTACACATAATCAATGGGTATCAGTAAAACAAAGCTGAGAGGGAGCGGCGGTGAAGGCGAGGATGACCGTGCATTGACTTACCAGCGGCCCAAGATCCTCCACCCTGCACCTATCCTTCCCACTGTTTCAATCTTGTCGGTCTAATTCTGCAACACACGGCGCCGTTGCCTACATGGTCACTCGTGTCGTCAGTCCATACCAATCGTGCCCGCGCGAGCAGAACGATGACATGTTGTGAAGAACTTCGAGAAGAATTAGATCGTGGCCAGAATGTAATGAACGGGCCGGAAGCTAGAGAGAGAGTTGGACTCGAGTCAACGGAGTCGTGGATGAAAGCAGAGGTGGCCGCCAGGAAATGGGACTCCAGAAAGCAACCCGACCGATCACCGATCACTCCCAGCCACACCGTTTCTCGCCGCCAGTCCTTGGTCTTCGTCAATAACTCTCACTGCTCCCTTGGGCCGGGTCAAAATTGCACATGCCTAAACGGCTGTTTTTGGCATTGTCCACGGTCATATTCAACGTTCCATTATCCGATCATCATGTTGTGCTTTATGAATGCCACAAGATCCCTGCTTGCATTACAATAGAACATCGGCTGGTGGTCAGATCTTTTTGCGCACGCTTTCCGCTCTTGTCCAATTCTGAATGCTTTGCAGAGGAAAAAGTCGATGCAAATTCCTCATCAGGTCTCCCAGGTCTTTATTTTACTTGATGGAGTCCTACAGACGTCTACATTCAAACAAGTGATTGTTGGTATTATCAACGTGCATGCTCGGTCCGCATGCACCCCTCCGTTTCATATTTCATATGTCATGTACTCGAATTTCGTGTGCTGAAATACGATCACACGATGCACGACCATGGGTGTGTAGGCAGAAAATAAACAAGGTAATGTCAACCTGCTTTCCGTCCTATTCACATTTCCAACTCGGTAAACAGATAACAATCCTACCTCCCAGTGTTGAGGATTCCATTCATTCTGCAGATCCAATCCAAATTTCCACATACGTTCAAAGCCAACAAAAAAGCGACACATGATAGGAACTCAAGGTAAAGCCGAAAACCCATTGCGCTGGCACTGCTCTTCTACCCAGTCGTTGATTGACTCCGGACTTCTTGCTGTTGCATTTTGCCGATGCTACTTATAAGTGACCGACCGGTGACACACCGCTCGTAGTTCCTGCGCTCCGTCATGCCTCGGACCGATGACAGGTCTACTAGGAGCGCTGTGAAATATGTTCAGCTGAATCATCATCCTCAGGTCTGAAGTAATTTGTCCCGTATACCGACGTTGATACGCAGGTATTGGTAGTCTGTTTTCCCAAAGTCGATTCAGAAAGGATGTTCGATTGACATTTTGATCCTACCTCCCGCGGACTTTCAAGCGTCCCTCTTTACAGGGCCTAGATACTCGAGATCGCTGTACGAAGTCGAATGGGAATACTCTTCGGGAGTTCACAGCTATTTACGGAACGATAGGCCACATTAGCAAGAATGGATACAGCATAGAGGCTTTCGAGATCCGCTCTCGGCTGAAGGTGGCAATCATTCAGGATTGGGATGGCTGACTCTCCTGCTCCACGACACGCTCCAACGTCTGTTCGTAACCGCTTTGGAAAACTACGAGATCGAATCTCGTGTGCTGGGTATCTTCAACAGGTGGCCTATCAGTCCACAAATGGCTGCAATAATGCCCAGTCTTTCATCCCCATACCTCCCACGAAGATGTCGTACTCAAGCAAACACGAGAGTGTGGGGTTTACTAAATTACCAGTACGTACTAGGTCGAACTCTATACTATATTCACAAATGATGCATGAACGGTCTAGACTTTGAAGCCTTCAGGCGTTATTTTGCTCGAAATGTGTATTCCTTAACCCTACATAAGGAGCGTCACACTTCGATTCAATCTAGGCCGTTTTGCCTCGTTCCTATAAGCTCAAGCACCCAAGTAGCCAAGTAAGGGTCACCAGGCTCTGCAGGTCTATGCAGGTCTGATTGTACAATACCACTCGGATGGAAACTTGCCCTGCTTTCCGTGACTTGCAAACTAAACCTTTTTAGAGGAATTGGTCTTCCAATATAACCATTGCGGTCCCCGGTACGTCCGCTTTATGCACCATCAATATCTCTGTACACCTCTAACGGATTGCAATATCGCTGATCCTAACGCCTTTTTAGTTGGAGCTAGTCCAGTTGTGTCTGCTGTGTCCTCATTTCGATCCGCGACCACTTCAATCAAGGAATATGTATCGTGTTACGACTCGGGGACCGATTCGGGATTTCCACGCTCCAACACACCAGAATAATCGAACCCTCAAACCGAACTGTGAAGGCTGCAGGGTTCGGCCACAGCCTTCTAGGTTCATGTCAACCATTGCTCATCTGGGTGACGAGGGTTCATGTCCTTAGCCCCTTCGGGCAAGATTGCGGTCTGCAGTCTTATAGCCTTCAGACGCGTGGGTATTTGGCATATTGCATACCCCTTCATCTCGTTCACCCGGTGGATATAGGTCTCCGAGATGAACAACGTTCAAGTGAAAGACAGGGTGCTGATGCATACTGTACATGATGGACGACCGAGTATCAAGACTTTAGGAGCTGTACACAAATCACTGGTATGTCTATTGCCAATGTGATTCATGCACGTCATTCGGATTTGTGCACAGTCCGTTCTGTACATAGGCTCGTAGGTCGATAGATTGACGCCATCCACCCGTGCTATTCGGGTCTCCAGACAGCCAGGAAAACATTCACCATTGTTGATGCGACTTGCAAGTAGGTACATAGGTACGACGCAAATCAGGGCATCAGGCACGATGAGGGGATAGCAAAGGTCGATAAGAACAATATTAGTACTCCTGGAGACATCGTGACTCACACATATGTCAGGAAATGACAGTTATCGGGACCATGCCGTTAGCGTTTGACGATATTGACTGCTCCCGATACGACATAGCGGGACTGGCATAAACGGATCGCACTACTGACCTCGGGTGTTGTTAACTTACCCTTGACTTGTCATGATTGTCCTGAATCCTGACAAGCCTGGGCCCTGATACATCCCCAAGAATATCAGTGCCGCTATGTTTTAGTATTAGTTAAGCCTCTAAGCAAAGGCTAGTTAGCAAGAGATCGAATGACCGCCGGGCTTACATACTCCAGGACCAGGTTGGGAGACAGCGGCGTTACGACAGCTCGGCCTAAGTTTTTTTTGTCTGGAGGCAGAGCAAAATTCAAGCATCAGGTCCCGGACATCGGTATGTTCAGCGGTGCGGCCTTCACGGAGGTTCGAGAGTTGGGGCGAGCTCGAGACTCCTGCGGACTGGTCGCAGCCATGACTTTGAGGACGTCTAATTGTCCTCATGACTGCACCATGCCACTTTCGCGCAGCCCCAAGCGTCCAACTTTCAGACATTGACAGGGCATTTCCGGAATACGATAGTGGCTTAACGTCAACGATAAGGGACAACAAGAACGTGGTTAGCTCATGGCGGTCAATCCGTCAGCCGTTGTGATGGGTTTTCAATGTCTTGAATTTCCTGTGTGCGGGCCGAGGACAGATCTAGATGATGCAATATAGTGAAGTCTATATTTGAGCTTCTCCGAGCGACTTCTTATTATACGAAACACTTTGTCGGACGAAAAAGATAGATTAGAACACCAAGATGAAGTTGGTAAGCGGGTTAGATCTGGTGTGTTTTCTTGGGTAGAACGGATTTCCTCTGAGTCAAGTCAAGTCATTTACATTTCACAATGTTATCGATGGTGGCGTCAGCGCGACGATGTGAAAGCAGGATAAACAGCAGGATCGTCAGAGCAAGGGGAACGCAAGGAGATGCGAACTGAGACGGAGGTTATGAGCGTCTCGCCCTTGGCAGTGACTTTGGTGGTGTTTGTGCTTGTGCAGCCCGACGCCGGAGAGCAAAAGGTTTCTGCCGGCCCAAATGCGGCAGGTTATTATTCCAATATGGAAGTTGGCATCAGCGCCCTGCGGAATGGAGGACGGTGATTGGCTGCAAATATAAGGGCGCTATAAAGGGCACGATAATGGCCTTCTGAGGCAAGCGACGGTTCTAACGGACGAGACTTTGGTCAACGCCTTCAACATGCCGTCCATCATAGCGCTCGCCTCAACCGCTAGCATATGTAACGGCGACCACAATACCGACATGTATCTCTGCCCATCCCCCCAAGGTATGTCTCTGTCTCCATATTCAATGCTCCTAATGTACTCACCGTCTTCGTGCTCCAGCACCATTCACCTCAATCAAGCTATTCCCGATTGAGGCGGAACAAACATTCCAGAGTGCTAGTACTGGTCGGCCATTGTTTATCAGACGGACATTGTCTCGTCTGGACAGCCTTTACCCACCTTTTGCTTTTTTGCCTGACCATCACCTCTACTGCAGGAGTCCAACTTCCTCCCTCCATTTCCTTTTCTCATCTCGCGAACAGGCTTTGACAGATGGCTGACGTTATGGTCCCTTCGATGAGCTCACAGGCTTCTGGTTCAGGAACTTCAGAAGCTTCCAAGGTAAGTCGTGTGTCGCTTTATACAATGCTCGTCTCTTAATTACATCCTTTTTCCTCCCCCAGTCCCGTACAGCTAGTCTGCTGCTCTCATCACCATCCAGGTCGCATACCCCAGGCAGTATCTTCCCCGACATGCATGGCCCTCACCCGAGGGTCTCGCTGGGAGGTCGTCCTGATTTTACACGTCGACATACCACCTACCTCGCTTCGCCAACCCCAAGGCCTATTCGCTCGTCCCCGTTGGCAGGTCCCTCCCTCGCACTTGGTCAAGATGGCACTTTGACAGGCAGCGACGACTCCCATAGCGATAGTGATTCTGACCAGGCGAGGCACAAGAGGCCTTCCCGTATCAGCTCAAGTCCCGACGTGCCTAGTACTTTGACGTTCAGTGCTTGTTCATCGGAAGACGGTCCGCTTGACCCGAAGAGCGCATCATCTCCGCACTTGGAGCAAGGGGAACTTCCTCCCCTTCCAAGCATCCCAAGTGCTTCAAGACTCTCTCGCCGTCTGTCTTGGGGGCTGACCAAACTCACCGAACTGCCGACCCTCTCACGTTCGTCGTCTTCCTCGTCCAAGTCATCTCAGAAAGAGAAGGAGAAAGAGAAAGAGGATGTCCCACCACCACCCGTCCCCGATATCCCGATCTGGGCGCGTCCGTCCTCGACGTCGCGATCATCACCGTCCCTTCGTTCTACGGCATCGAATCGCCGTTCACTAATATCTCCTCCATCAGCAACACCTGTCCGCCGTCCCACAACTTCATCTGGAACTTCTGCCAGAGCAGCAACCGTCAACAGACGTTCGACGTATCTCGGCCAACCAGCAGAACCCTCAGTCTCTCGTGATCCCGAACTAAATTGGCTCACACAAGCCGCGCCTCCAAAGTTCTCTAGACACAGTCTGAAGGCCGAAGGTGTTGTGATGCCCGTTTCTGCCAGAGACGTCAAGTTCGCCAACAGACGTTCTGTGATCATCGCGCCACCTCCTGTTGCTACATCACAGACTACCGATTCCAGGCGCAAGTCTCGCGACGGAGTCTTGGTGCCTCCTTCTCGATCAGTTTCTCGTGCAAGCAGCATGGCTTCTCTCGGTTCCGTGGCATCGGAAATGAGTGGGACGATCATGCCCTCACCTTCATTCCGCGTGGGTTCATTCGGTGGATCTTCAAGTTCAATCGACAGCGCTATATCGTCTTTACTACCAGCCACACCTACTTTGTCGCTCAGTCGGTCTACGAGTGTGAACTCGACTGTCGTAGCGGACGAAATGGGTGTGCTTTCTCGGCCATGTAGTGTCTCATTTGAGAAGGATGTTGGAAGGAGGAAGGAAGACGAGCGCCGTGGAGTTGTGCTTGAGTTGAGAGTCAATGATGTCCATGTGGAAGTGATGGGCAAGTCGGAGTCTCGCAGGACCGTGGTTGTGACCGAATGCAAACCCACTTCGGAATCGAATGTTGCAGGGGGAAAGACTTGTGGTGCTAAGAAGACGCAGGCGGTGTTGGACGGGACTTTGCAGCGCGGTCGCGGTACGATCGAGCGTGCGTGGAAGCGCGTCATTCGCAGTGTTTCCGTCAAAGCGTGACACCTTTTCTTTTCTCTTGAACATTTGGGATGCTTTCTTCCCCTTCGCAAATACCTCGAACATTTTGGCTCTCCGTTTCGCCGCCTATGACAATTGCAAACAAGTTCGGGACTGTTTACCTTCATACCAGCTTCACCCATGTTGCAAGAATTTAGAACCCCTTTTCTTTGTATTACTATACCAACTTTTACCCCATTTCTTGCCAGTTCTCATCCTTGCAATCGTACTCATGACCTACCTAGACGAATTACTCCATGACATTCTTCTTTTCTTTCTTATCTTCTTCGTTCGCTTTTGCTTCTCTCTTCACTCCCTGAAACGCTCCCTCACTTATATAACCGGGACGACGAATGCAACTCCAATAACAAAATACTTTAATCGTATGGTATATTGTATACTACGCACACATTCTTTCTTGACTACTATCACCATCGCTGGTCATCTTGACCTCTTTCGATCCATTTCATTCATTGTACGTGTAGGTTTGTAGACCATAGCTCTCAAGTATTCATAGGAGCTTTGATTCTATTTAATGATAAGGTATATATCTTGTTTGTTACGATGATGTGTGTGTAATGCTTCGAAACTTTAGGACTGAAAGTTTATAATAGAGTCCTCGATGAATTGATCGACATTAAAGACAACTGGCAAAATGGAATGTCCCCTGAGTCGAAAATGCTCACAGACAATGCGAGCTGGCGGGAGGCGCGAAGTGTAAGTACTTAGCGCAGGTACTGTACTGTACCGTATGTTCACGACCATACCAGACAGCGGATCTTGTGTGACGCAAACTACCCTCTGGGATTGACCGGACAGCCTTCGAGTGAGCTGTTCCTCAAAGAATCCCTCGGAGTATGAGACGCTTGACATGGTGTTTCAAAACCGTGATAGTTTCACATAAATGCATTTCTGTTTTGTCCGGCTTTGATATATCTTCATTCTATTCTCTTCTGGGCACACCGGAAAATGACATGCAGAGATAACAAAGGGCTCTTTATTCCAAACATGATTCACTGGACATTCAGAACACTATAACAAACTAGCCCAAATTTCACCACACCGACACTTACGATGTCCATATAAAGAATTTGCTGGAGGACGCAAAGAAAGTAAGCGCAAGGACCGGAAAGCGACGCGAATCCACATACCATATTGCACCCTAGCCAAGAGAAGAAGTCGTCAAAAGCATGCAATCTCACGAAGAGACGCGAAGAGTATCCAAAAAATTGTGCAAGGCAGCAGACCTGGAGTAGTCTGAATCGAGTTGCGCCACATATACAATAACCAACCACGAAAGTTGACATCATATACACCTTGGCGCGCCGCGAAGTGCACTAAAGGATGCGACTCGACGTCTGCGATCTTCAAAATAGTCAACTCTCCTCGTACGCCAATGGAAAATGGATGTCTAGTAATAAATGTCACAAGTACTCGATAGGCCCCGAGGCATTACCCCCGATCGAATGACGAGTTCCACTACAACGCTAGTGCGTTGACGTTGCATGTTGACGTGAGGCAACAGAGACAACAGCATCGTCCGGTGACGGACTATGGCAACTTCACGGTCCTGCTAGGGAAACGTGAACTTGAAACAAGCTTGGTGCGATGACACAAGCCCAGCTATGCATTGCTGCATTGCAATACGTACTGCACTGTGGTCGGTGACGACGCACAGATCGAAACACAATGTATGTGAGATACTATCGTGGCTATTTCGCGTTCGGTGTGGCGAACGGTATACGTGTTCTGGGTGAGAACAGATTTATGCTGCATTCCGCGAGGAACGGTTCGGTATTCGTAGGGTGTACGAACGTGCCTTGTTCTTTTGTGGAGAACAATTATGCCTTCGTTCTGTTAGGAACGGATGGATACGCGTGTCATGGTGAACACGGAACCAGCCCGAGGATGACACGAAAGCAAAGCCTATGGACATGCCGAGTCGTGGCCAACGATCGCGCATCCTAGGTTTGAAAGCTCAAACCCACAGCTCGCAATAACATGCTCCTCATGATGGGCGTACACAGTAATCCAATTTCCGGGGTCCATCCTATCTGAGACAGGAAGGACAAGACTAGAGGCCAATGCTAGCCACCGCGAGCAAACGCAGACGGCACCGATAGAGAGAAAGACAAAGAGAAGAACTCGCAGACTACAAACGCACCCGATTCCCGCGACGAATTCCAAGCATTCAACCTCAACCCTCCCCGGCAAGCGACGGTTCTCTGGGTATGTTGAGGAGGCTAGCGCTTTTCTGGTACATCGCTCGACCGTTTTACGGTCAGACCCAGCTAGAGTCGATCAAGGGGAATAGAAAACTCAGACCTTAGCCCACTCGCAAATGAGGATGAGGGAACATCCTGTGTGGAACGAGTGTCGCGGCTTCAGGACTGCTGCACTTGAGGGAAAAGAAAGAAAAAGACGTGCGGGCGCTCGGGCGTGGTTGAAATACTATAGACGCTCAAGAATCTGGCTTCCTAAATAGGCAGCCATGTACGTTTGGTTTTCTACTCCCTGAGAGTCGAGAGAAACACCAGTACTCTTATTCTACGACAGGCCATCTGCACGGACGGAAGGAAGGGATTGAATGACTTGGTGAATTTGAACGCATTCAACAGCAATAACGGGTCAACAGAGGGAAGACGAAAATCCATTAGATGTTCCGAAGCAGGTATATATCCAATCCATATTGTAAAGGGAAAAATTCCGCAAGAAAGGCATAAACCCAAGTCCAACTTCATCTACGCAACTTAAACCTGTTCAACAAACCCTTGACACCTTTCTTCGCATGCTTCCCATTCTCCCCCAACAACGGTGTATCCTCGCCAGACTCATCCTCGTCACGAACGTCATTCTGCACAGCATCACCAACTGCCTCTCTCACTGGTACGCCTGCGCCTGGTCCTGCGGTGACATGGACGGGCGAATCTCCTTGGTCTAAGTCGTCTTCTTCGGAGAGGGGATTGCCAAAGTCGTCGATACTCAGACGCTTCTGACGGACATGCCAGAAGATGCACATCGTGAGGAGTGTGGCCTGAAGTGCACCTGCTACAGCATACGGAAGCCAAGCTACAGAAATATAGATACCATTTAGTCTCACAATTACCCATGCAATAATGAGCAGATGTTAAGAGAGTGAAGAACGTACTGCTCCAATTCGTCCCCGGCCTCAAAGCGATGCTCGATACCATCAACAATGCTCCAGGGCTCTGGATACACATCATCTTGATACTCAACGCTCCGACGAGTTTCATTCTGTAGGTGTGTACTAGCTGTGGAGCGTATTGCAAGGCTGCGAGGAGCGCGGATGTGAGTCCGAGGAATGTGGCCCAGGTCTCTATTTGGCTGTTGCGGGGTGAGGGAGAGGGGGAAGGATAGGAAGGGGAGGTTAGGAGAAGTACGAAGGTGATAGAGGTCGTAACGAGACTGTAGGAATGTATAGGTAAGAGGTGGATATTAGTGATAGGAGAGCGGTGGAAAAGCGGGAAAGGGAAGAAACATACAAGTGAAGAAAGACGATCCAAGAGAGAACGACGGATAGTTTCCAGTTCTCGCTCTTGAGAGAAGTCTTGATGAGCAGAGGCACTCTTGTGCCGTGGTTGTCGTCCTCAACACTGACGAAAACGTACTTGAGGTGTGGTGGGTAGTAGATGATGTATAGCACCAAGCTGAACAATTCGATGTTTAGCAAGGCAGCAACATAAGAAAAACAAGTGCACATACATGAATGTAAATAGAAACCATTGTAGAAAGAGTTGGAAGATGCCTGCGGTCGATTCCATACAGTTCCCTGGAGTCTGGTTCTAAAACGTTAGAGGCAAGTCAAAGGATGAGGATCCGAAGAACGCACGAGCACGCGACAGCACTTAATGATACCCCATTGTTTCACAATGCTGGCATAGTTTCAGTTTAAGAACGTGTCCTCGCAACAAAGGCGGAACGCACATGTTGAGCATTCCCGAAGCAGAAGACGTGCTTCCTAAAAGCAAGAACCATGGGCTGAAACCCTCAGAAGATTTGGACTGAATTATCTTCAAATGCTACACTAGAGCAATCAGAAAACCACAAACAAAGCAAGTCGTAATCAAATAACAGACCTGAGGCAAATAGGAGATGGCCATGCCAATGCAAATGAAGGTCGTGAGTAGCGTGGTCGTTCTGTCATCGTGCTTGAAGAGAAGTCAATTCATTGCTTGGCTGTTGATTATATGGTGCTTACGGGGACGCAAGTGTCGGACATGGTGAGCTGCGTTGACGACGAGCAAGCCGACGACGAGAACAAAAGGCAGCGAGGCGGGAACACGCCATACTCCAGGTATGGGGGCCACGTGCTCTACGCGTTTCGATCGATCGCCTCTGAGCCTCCACTTGAAACCTTTAATTCCATTCGTCTGCACCTGCCTTCGCGGAACACTATATAGTCCGTAAAAACCACTACGCGTAACACTACTTCGCTTCATGAAATGACTTAACATTCAAAACTGGAACTTCACACCATGTTTTCTCTCAGACTAAGTATCTTCCATTCGTACATATAAGTGCTAAGGACTCTGGCTCACCGTCGCTGAAACAATTTGTCTAAACTAGTGTCATTGTCTCTGTAGGCAATAACCTTTCTGATACACTATATATCCAAGATATATAACTTTTCATGCGATGCATTCTTGCAAGACTATACACCCTCTCCCCCTCTCCAAAGGCTCACATTATTAGGGTATCTCTTTCTCGACCTTCAAGATACCCCGATCAAAGAACGTGCCTAAGTGTTCCCGAACAATGGCCTCAAATCTCTCCAGACTCTCGAATGGGGAAGAAAAGTTTCCGGGTGTGCACCGCCCCACGAATCGCACGCTTTTCAACTCCCTACTTTCGGACAGCGCATCGGAAAAGGGACTCCAGATGTCATTGGACATCAAAGTCCAACTAGTGTCGGAAACCACGCCTGTGAGAGAATCAAGGGTCGAGAAAATGGCGATCGACAGCCCTCGATGGCTCCGTGAGATAGTTGATAACATGGTAGCTATAGCTCTCCAGAGTGCATTGTTCGCGACGGCAGTCATGATGCTCCAGTATCCTTCGCCATCGCTCGAATGGCACCGAGCTGTCTGCCTAATTCGGAAATGAAGGGATTTCAGAGATGAGCAGGGACTAAGGTAACGATCCGTCCATGCGTTCCAGTCTACATTTCGAAGACTGACTAATCAGAACCGACGGGACCTAGACAAGGATCCATGCATATTCTCTTACCATCTGCGGTTGTCCTTTGTACGCCGGACGATATGACCAACGTGAGGGAATGAAGGCTAGATGCAGCAGCACGTATGATCTCCCCTGTTCCCCATAAACTGTCATCATCTGCAAGGTCGACTGTCAAATCCCGCAGTTCTCGAAACGACATCGCAGACTGGAGAAAGTTGCAGATCGAAAAATCGGTCCGCGATGAATTCATAGCATAACTGAGAGTGAGAGACTTTGGATGAAGTGAGGAAGGTAAAGTTTGTAAGGGGATATGGAGCAGATTGGGAAGGTAGAGAAGATGGAGAGTGAGATGTTCAACATTGTGGAAAAGGTGAAGGATGTCAATGAACTGTGTTTGATAGTCCAAGTCAAAGCAAGCGGCACAGTGTTCGTTCTTCCAGCTCAGCTTCCTGATTGACCATGTCGATGTACACAGGGACCCTGCTTCTCGGGAGATGAACATGACTTCATCGAGAAAGAGCGACTGCAGATTAGGTAGTTTATCAAGGACGCCTGTCAGTGTTTTAAAATCCTCCGAGCGCTCCAAAGAAGAAGACAGCTGTGGGTTCTCGAAATATCCTCGTACTGTCAAAGCTTTGACGCAGAAACGAAGGCTGCCGTTCGCGCTTAGGGTCGTCGTAAATTCCTGCAGAGTATCGCCGTTTCCGATATTCATGGAACGGAAAAGAAGCCGACGAGCTGCAGAACCCCATGCCATAGAAACCAGGGAGCAGGACAGCAGGCTTGCCTGATCTCCATCCAGATACTTAACGATGATGTCAAAGATCTCTTGCGGGAGGCGACTCATTGCAGACATCCTAGGATTTATTTCCACGTTAGAGAATCAAAAGAAAAGACAGAGGTGCATCCGACGCACCTCAGCAATGTTGAGAGTGAAGAAGATACTATGCAAATACTACGATTTTTATCTGTAGTCGCCATATGGCGCGAACGGAGATATGTCAGTACGAGACAGAGAGAGCGACCGAGAGAACAATGGCAGCTCACCTAGCGAGTGGGCGGAAGTACGAGAAAGAGAGGTGACAAAGTGTCGAGACTTGCATCCGCTCGCTATAAGGGTGAGGGGCTCCACATAGGCAGTTCATACAGGTTCATACTGAGCGGAAACTCCGAAAACGGACGAGCCGACGTGCTCGTCGATTACTGTAGATTCATGTAAACTAGAACTTCACATGGGCGTTTAACATTTTAATGATGCTGGGGCCCCGCGTTTGCGAACACAAGCATATGATTGGCTGCAATCCGACATTTCTACCCGGTCTGCAGCCTCCATAAACACGCTCTTTCATCTCCACTTCCCATCCTTTACTTCATAGTAAACTGGAGGGCGTGACTGCAGGCTTTTAGTATGTTTTATTCGTACCCAAACACCTTAGCTTGTACTGACGGGCAATGACTCCAAGCAGTCACAGTGGAAGGTCTTACTATTCGGCATCTTGAAGATGCTCCGACTCTCTAAAAAGCGGTTTTCATCGCTCTCACACATATGTTCACGACGGCTACATGTAACGCCTATACTTCGACGCGAACTCTTCGACCCAAGCAATGTCGAAAGAGTCGAGGACGAAGTAGACGTTTGTATAGTAGGAGGCGGCCCTGCAGGACTCAGTGCTGCAATCCGTCTGAAGCAGCTTGAGCAAGAGAAAGGCAGAGAGATACGGGTGGTTGTGTTAGAGAAGGGTGGCGAGATAGGTGAGCACCGTTATTTTATTTCGTTGCAACTCTATTCTTATTTTACTAGGCTCGCACATTCTTTCCGGCGCTGTCATCGAGCCCCGCGCTCTCAACGAGCTTCTCCCAGACTGGCAATCCATGGAAGGCCATCCTCTAACCCAACCAGCTCTCAAAACATCCATGCGTTTCTTCACGGAGAAATATTCCATTCCCATTCCGCATCCTCCCCAGATGTCCCACAAAGGCACCTACATCGTTTCCCTTAGCCGAGTCACCGCATGGTTGTCCACCATCGCAGAAGAACTCGGTGTGGAAATCTATCCAGGCTTTGCAGGTGCCGGACTGGTGTACACCAAGGACGGAAAGGGTATTTTGGGCGTGAGGACAAACGAAGTCGGGTTGGATAGGGAAAGTCGGATGAAGGAGACGTTTGAGCCCGGTATGGAGTTCCGCGCCAAGGTAACGTTGCTTGCAGAAGGCGCACATGGATCACTTTCAAAAGAAGCCATTCGGAGGTTCAAATTGAGGAAAGACAGGGATCCTCAGACGTATGGGATTGGCGTAAAGGAAGTATGGCGGGTGGATCCTGAGAAGCACCAACCTGGGTTGGTGTTGCATACGATGGGGTGGCCGTTGAATTGGAAGACGTATGGCGGTGGATGGGTGTACCATATGGACGAGGGACTCGTTACTATGGGACTGGTGGTTGGACTGGATTATGAGAACCCATATCTCAGTCCATACCGTGAACTTCAGGTAAACAGTTTGTTTTTCTTTTCTTTCGTGCATTCATAGACTGATATATTATACAGCGTATGAAACACCATCCTTACTTCAGAGACCTCCTCTCAGGTTCCGCAACACGTATCGCCTATGGGGCCCGCTCGCTTAACGAAGGCGGCCTTCAATCCGTCCCACAGCTCAACTTCCCGGGTGGTGCTCTGATAGGCTGTTCCGCAGGGTTCGTTAACGTTGCAAAGATTAAAGGAACACACAACGCCATGAAGAGCGGTATGCTCGCAGCCGAAGCCGCTTTTGATGCCATCTCCTCTGAACAAGACGAAGGGAGTCCAACGGATATGAGCAGCTACGACGAGGCGTTCAAGAAAAGCTGGGTCTACGAGGACTTGCATGAAGTCCGGAACGTCAGACCGTCGTTCAATACTCCGTTAGGCCTCTGGGGTGGAGTGGCTTATTCAGGATTGGATACCTTGTTTTTGAAAGGTCGGACACCATGGACGTTCAGAAACACTTCAGGCAAGAGCGATGCCTCACATACTAAACCAGCACGCCAATGCAAACCTATCGAGTACCCGCCTTTCGAGCCTCCTCTAAGCACAGACTTGCTTACCAGTTTAGCCCTCACTGGCACGAATCACGCTGAAGACCAACCCGTGCATTTACGTGTACGAAAATACCTTTCGTCGAATGATGTGGGGAAGGAAGGTCAAGATCCCGCGGAGGAAGAGACATTCGTTGAGAGCAAGGAACTGAGGAGAGACCATGTGAAAGTGAACGTTGGGGAGTATGCAGGCTTGCTTGGACGTGCGTGTCCGGCACAGGTGTATGAGTATGTAGAGGATGAGAGTGCGACGGAGGAGAAGCCCGAACCGGAGGGCTGGGGAGGAAAGAAGTTGGTCATCAATTCACAGGTTCGTCTCTCTCACTTGCTTGACGTTGAGAAAATGACGATGGAAGTTCATGCGTATAAATTGCAGAATTGCATCCATTGCAAACTTTGTGATATCAAGGTCCCGACGCAGGATATCACTTGGACTGTTCCCGAGGGCGGAGGCGGGCCCAAATACAGTACGTGGTTTAGGATTTCGTTCATTGTGAAAGTCCGACCAACCTTTCTCTCCACAGCCATCACCTAGAAATTCTCAACGATTTCCATAAACACGGGTCTTTGAGCTTTTAGACCACTGGCAATAGAACACTCCCAATGGCTCGCTGTTTCCTCCTTATATGGACCCAGGTCCCCTCGATGCTTAAGCAGCTTCAGTGGAACAGCGTATTACCTGCGCCTTCCTGGTAAATATCCCACCAGTCTTCAAGAAGGCAACCTTCTCACGGGGTTGTTTGTCGCCAGCGAATAGTATACTCCAGATAATAAAAAGAAATACAGACAAAATAGTCATCTCCACATCATATCGGTGCGATGGGTGCACTACCCTTCTCATGCGCTGTCCGCAAACTATACAAAGCAACACAGTCAGCCCTCGACATTCACACCCGGACAGTGAAAAAGGAAAGAGAGACTAACCTATAGTCGTCACCATTTTGCGTGATGTACCGGACCCAAGGTAGGGCTTGGTAACCACTCTTTTCGACGATCTTGAGGTATCGGACTTGGATGCCGGAGACGGTGAAGTAAGGGATCTCGAACTTGACAGTGATTGGTGCTCGTTTATCCATACTGTCGTGTTCTACCGAGAGGCATATGTTAGAGAATAAGAAGACACAGAGATTGTGTAACAGGACATACCCCCTCGCACGCTTGGAAGACCGAAGTGTGCTCGCATAAGAAATTCTCGACCGCCTCCAAGCTGTTTGATTTTCCAGACAAAGGCAGACTTATCTGGTGCGTATTGTACAGTTCCAGTTGCAGCCTAGAATAAAACTCATAATAAGCCTTTGTGATGCAGGTAGTTTGGGCGAGATGGGGTACAGACCCTGAACTTGGGCGTATCAGCGTCGTCTGGTACAGGTACGTAGATCTCGACGTTGTTTGCGGAACTTCGTCGCTTGAACTGTGCTTTGACTTTGACCATGTACTCTACCCTACTACCTTTGTGGTGTTCAACCTAAAGGAAACTCAGCACGAATGTACTTGCTGTAAATCCATAAGACAACTTACGGCGGCTTCTACCCAAACAAGAGGTTTGACAGGAGTTGAAAGTCGGTATGACATGAGTTCGAATTCGCCATCTGGAGGGATGAACGAAATGGTACGGTCGTTCTCGAACCGTGATAGACGAACACATTGGTGGAACTTGACATCCTCCATCTCGATTGCCTTCCCTCGAGCAGCTAAATGATGGATGTGAGTACCAAAGATTGTCCACAAGACAGGAACACGTACTTCGTCCAGTGCTTTCGAACATGACCTTGTCATTCAAGCCTAACCGAAGTTCAGGCATACCCGACAAATAGCATTTCATCTTGACCGCGCCTAGAATTTCTGACCTGACGACGTTACCATTTGCGTTTACCTGCAACATGGAGCATATAAGAGACGCCGCCGTATGGGTCAAAGGTCACTTACCAAGAGATTGACACTTTCAATAACGTCCAAGAATACTTCGTTCTTCCGGTATCGAATACCTTCCGAACGCCATGACACCGCATTCGTGACGGCAATGGGTGGTCGTACTTGTGCTTCGAGTTTGTAAGATTCTTGTGTAATGTATCTGTGTGGAAGAGTGTACGTGTCAGATCTATAGTAGGTATACGAGCCGTAGTACGCACTCTTGGAGGATCTTGCTTTCGGTCGTTTGAGGGTATCCAAAGTCCATCATTTCGTCCATAAGTTCGTAAATAATGACAAAGTTGTCACGGATGGATTCCTCCTCCAGTTCCTTGAAGTACTCGACGAGGACTTGGACAAAGCGGTGTAGGAAGAGGATAATCTCCGCAGCATTGGTGTTGCGTTTCGACATCGCAAGGACTGTAGACATTGCAAACAGGGTATTCGAGCACATTAATCAATGCTGGCATAGAGAGATAATGCATGGTGTGCGTACGGTAAAGATTCGAGTGTCGGATGTGCATGTAGTTCACTCCCTCCCTAGAGAAGCAAGGCGTAACCTGTTGTCCCTCCTCCTCCAAATCGAGCACAATGGGCAAGAATCTCTCGACATATGATGGAGGTACATCATCTCGGTATGAACGTTGAATGAGTGGTTTGCCTTTGAGGTCCAGGATAGCGATCAAGCTGGCCATGTCGGAACGTTCTCTTGATTGACACGTTCAATTACAGTTGTGGTTAATGGATTATTTAACCGTTGCAGATGTTATGGCCAAATATGACACGCTTCAAGCAATCCTTCGAGGTCCAGCAGTAGAGAGAATAGTTAAGGTAGAATTCAAAACGAGGTGGTGGTCATCAGTAACTTTAGTGCTCCGAGCGGCTATGCAACTTACTTGCTCATCGCGACTGCCAGCGACCACGTCGTTGAATTCATTCCCCTGTCTACCCAGTGTCTACTTCTGGCTACATAACTAACTGGAGTCTTATTTCTGGCTTTCTTGTCCTGGCTAATCATCTAGAGACTAATGACTGGTGGTTTCGCGGCGCTTCCACTAGTTGAAGATGGAGGAGATGACCACAATGCTTCGCATTTAGCTGGAGTGTCGAGAATCCTGGGCCCTAAATGGATACAACTGCCTGCACTGACGGTTGGGTTGCTAGGCGTGCAAGTGCTGTGGTCGGTAGAGATGTCTTATGGTACGCTATGCAACAGTATAGGAGACGTCTGGCTCACGTATATTCGATTCTCTATTCCAGGAACACCCTATCTATTATCATTAGGACTCTCAAAATCTGCTGTTTCTATGGTCTTTCTGGCGGGACCAATATCAGGACTGATAGTCCAACCACTCATCGGTGAGGCTTAATAACAGCACGGTTCTCCAGTGCACTGACGGTACAAGTGTGTAGGAGTGCTTGCTGACAATTCAAAATCACGCTTCGGACGTCGGAGACCTTACATGCTCGCAGGCGTAGTCATATGTGTTTGCGCCATGCTGCTTCTTGGGTTTACACGGCCTTTCGCCACTTTATTCGCCGCACTTGGGTCAATAGCTGTGCGTATAAGTCTGTCGCTCCTAGATCATTCAGCTAAATTCGCATTCAGAATGACATATTGACAATCTGGCTAGCTATCATTGCCCTGTTTACCATTGACTTCTCAATCAATGCAGGTGTGTTCAGTGTCAAGTTCGTGTCTTGTAGATTACAAACCTTGCCATTGCAGTACAAGCAGTCGACCGAGCGCTCCTAGTGGACACTCTACCGACAGAGAAACAGGCAGACGGAAATGCCTGGGCGGCTCGTATGCTGAGCATTGGAAGCGTTGCCGGATATTTCATGTATGTGCCGTGGCGTAGTGTTCATGTTAATCCTAACGCGTTTTTAGTGGCAACGTGGACATGACCCGGGTCTTCCCCTTCCTCGGAGATACTGAGCTTGAAGTACTTTCCGTCTGCGGCTCCTTTCTTCTAGTGATCGCACATGGTATGACGGCTTTCTGCGTCAAGGAGAGGATCGTACTTGCCAGCAAGTGAGTCGACAATCCTCTTCAGTAGACCCATTGTAAACAGAACGGGTTTCCAAGGGGTGCACCGAAATCCTTTGTCCAAGAACTGAGGGAAATTTGGCACAATGCGCGGAATTTACCGTCAGCGATCCGACAAATAGTAAGTCTTTACCTAGATTCCTTTCTGCTGAAACATACTAAGCGCTGTCGCCCTCAGTGTTTTATTCAATTCTTGTTCGTATCTTCATATTTTCTAAGTTGGCCCTAAACCCTAATGACCGTTAGTGCCTGGCTAGGATGGTTCCCTCTCTTGTTCAACACAACCGAATTTATCACCGAACTTCACAAACGCCAGATTGGCCCGACAACACCTGCTCAAGTTGAATCAGTCATGGCAGAAGGTAACCGGCTTGGTTCCAGAGCCATGTTCTTCCATGCTTTACTTTCTCTTGCGGCCAACTTGATTTTACCATTCTTCGTCGCCGAAGCGGGAAGTCGAAAACGTATGCAAAGTGCCCTTGCGCTAGGAGTGAAGAGGACGTGGTGGGTTAGGTTGTATGAAAAAATGAAGCTCCATCTTGGGACCCTCTGGGCGCTTTCCCATCTCGTCTTCGCGATTTGTATGCTCGCCACCTTGTGAGTGCAACAATTTCCTCTTCTATGGCTATTGTGCTCATGATTTTGTTGTCCTTAGTTTCTACTCAAGTGTGTGGGCCGCGACCTTCTTCACAACTTTGGCTGGGCTTGCGTGGTCTATCACCCAATGGGCACCTTTTTCTTTGGTAAGTTCTTCGGGACAAGAATAATCTTTTCTCAGCATGTCATCTATCTAATTCCTTGAATGTTTAGCTTGCAGAAGCCATATTGACGGCAGATTCCCCTGACGATACCGCCGCGATTCTGCTCAGCGATACACGCACGAGTCGGAGGTCAGGGGATATAACGCTAGGTGCTGACGAACACGAACGACAGTTCCTCGTTGGAGATGACGAGGATGAGAATGGTCTCGCAGATGAGGTTCGGTCATTCGGGTCTTCCGCTTCAATGGACAGTCAAGAAGGTTCGGGAGAACGAATACGTGCAAATACCCTGATGAACAATGCCGACGCGCGAATGAGCCATGTTCATGTCGACGACCTAGCTCATGACCATGTCGATGGGCCGAGGAGGGAAGGTGGACTGGCAGCAAAAGCTGGTGTTATCCTCGTATGTAACATCTCCGCATTCGATTTGTCGTTGCTTATGTCTTTGCAGGGCATTCATAATATCTTCATCGTCATGCCTCAAATGCTGATGACAGGAATCTCGTCCATTATCTTCGCTATCCTTGAACCCCGAGAAACGAATTCTGAACTGCTGGAGGCACCTACGAATAGCACGATGCCGTCGGGAAATTCTACTTCATTGCTTCCATCGAGAGCAGAGGGCGTGGCTTCAGGTAGTGGGCCAGAATCATACGCCATTGTCTTTAGGTAAGTGTTGATGGGCAGTTCTAAGCTTGAATTTCCGTTGACTGGTTCTACAGGCTGGGTGGCTTTGCAGCAATAATCGCCTTCGTGTTAACGATCAGGCTGGTTCGCGAACTACGGCATCGTGACTAGCATCACACTTCTGTTTTCGTCTTCGGACTTCCTACTGTACACCTCGTGCTCAATTTGTATCACTACATAATCCATCCACCTATTGCTTTGTATGTTCGTAGCTACTTATACATGTAGATACCCTTTTACCTGGATTCCTTACTTATTTGTCTCCACTGAATTATCTAGAAAACCGTTCCATCACTCTCAATGTCGATGGGTGGTCCACCTGTTGCAGGTCGTTTCTGTCTGGCAATCTCTCGACCGCCCTTCCAAGTGGCGCTTTCGAGCACTTGAGCGAGTGTAAGCTGTTCACGAGTAAGACCGAGCTTCGCGCGAATTGCGTCGGCAATACGGTCACTGTTCGATAATCATGTCAATGCGGAGGCTGGAGATCAGTGGAATGCAGTCAAGCTTACAGTTCAATCACAGTAAGTGCTCTCCATTCTACAATGGCAGGATGCGACGGTAGCAAGCGAGGAATACCAGAAAAAGGATCAGGATAGAAGGAAGAAGGAATGGATCCCGCCTTGATGCTCAGAACGCCGAGGTCGAGGAGCAAACCACCTGTATATTCATTAATTCATGACCAGTCAAACGTTCCACAAAAAACACACCATTTCGATACTCAGGAAGACCAGTCAGGTCCTCAATACCATCAAACTTCCAGTGTAGGATCTTCTCAAGAGGTTCGATCAAGCTATATGTGATCCAGCCGGTGAGCTTGTGGAAGGGAACCAGCTCATCACCTTCGTTGACAACAGTAGGCTTCAACACATCACAAGGCCATACGTCACCCAGAGATATACCGCCTAGGGTCGTACGGGTTGCAGGCCATATAGGTGCAAGACCTTCGATGAGTGCACCCCAGAGGGAAGAGATATGAACTCTTCGTCCTGAGGCGTCGGCTTTCGACTCGCTTTCCAGGAAGTCTGTTGTGTCACTAGATAAGCTACCTTGCGGATACAAGAACTCGTATGGCTAGCCTTACCAACAAGGTTTCCCGGACGTGCATCAGTACCAAAGTAGGTCGGGTTGGCTTTTAAGGCTTTGCTCAAGTTCTGAAGCAAAGATGTCCTGCCCTCAATTCCAACCATTGGGTTAGTCTCACTAACTTGCATGGCTGAAGCGGTTGCTTCAGTCGTGATACGCGACAGGCCTTCCGCTGTACGCATTAACATGAGTTACAATTTTGACCATTACATATAATGCCCTGAGACATACCATCCACTTGATGCGGGTTAGCATCACTCCCAGAGAAGAATCCCTCCTCAAACATATTGATACTTGCCACGCCCAACCCTTCGGACCTAGCGAACTTCTCTCCAGACTGACTCTCGAGGTAAGTCCAAGTATTGCCCGCACCAGCATCGAGCAATACGGAGACTAGGAAGAGATCGATGAGTCGTCGGCATGTCTCTTTGGTGTCCGGTGGGTTAGATGAGGCTTTCCACTTGGCTACCAGAGGTTCTACACGAGGACGGCCGGCATCGAGATGTCTCCAGCGACCGTGAGGAGGAATCTACTCGCATATAGTCCATTATAAGCGAACTCCTAGTTCGAGGCTATCAAACTCACTGAGGCATAATTCGTGCCAAAGTCCTGCTATTGTGACTATAAGCTATCAACTATTGAGACATATAGTAACTACGCTACCTGAATTATACTCAAGCAGAACGTAGCCACATCTTCTTCTTTCTCAGGATGATATTCAAAGTATTGCAGCTCTCCTCGCTTGGCGAGTTCATGAACCTTGTTGCATCGTTCTCGAATCGCAGGAAGGGTACGCAAGTAGATCGCAGTTTGTTGGGGAGTCAAAGGTTGTCCAAAGTTCATCGTGGTGTGATTTCAAGAGCACGTCTGATGATTGCACAAAGATACGGACCCTCGACGAGGTATGATGAGGCATGGTGGTGGTCGGCAGATAGTATACCGACCTCGAGCGGGTGAACAACGCGAGAGATAACGAGTTCACTTATCGTGTGTTTCATAGAAATGCAATATACAGAATCCAAAGACATGAGTATAGCTTGCTTGCTATGGCAGTACACTTTACTACATTTTAGCTGAGATTACTAGCTTTACTCCAGAACGGATGCTCCCACCAATCCCCTTCAACCTTTCGAGCACGAACAAAACGTCCTCCAACGTTAGCTTCGTCGGATTTCTCAAGTGTCCACAACTCCTTAATAATAACACGACGGGCATATTCCAATAGGCGGGGGTAATTCAGTCCGACAGCATGAGGGCCATGGCTGTCATCCGATAAAGCGAAGCGACCACCATGCTCCTGAATTACCTGAAGGAGGACCCATTAGGAATAAGAGCAGGTGTGAAAAGTATGCAACATACTGTGACTATATCCTTCGCAGGGTATGCAGAAGACCATCCCTTTCTGAACGCCGCTGCATTCAGTTCAAACAGAGCGCCATACTCTGTTGCAAAGCGGACGTTCCTCTTCAGTTTTCCCCACACAGCTGGATAGTCCTTCAAAGAGAGATCGGGAGTATAAAGACGGCACAGGTCGATGTGTCCGATGACTTCGGGATGGAGCCGTTGCATAAGCCCGTATTGAGCATCAAAATATGTGCAAAGATACGTCTCCAATTGCTGGTCATTTTCCGTCGGGAAACTAGCCACCGCTTTCTTGTAGGTCTCCAAATCGAAGTCAATGGGTATACTGTTCACATGATGAACTGAGCCAACGATGTATTCGATATGACTGCCATAAGACTTGAGTAAAGCCTCCAGAGGGTCAATGTCAGCAGGCTGGATGTACTCTGTCTCGAGACCGACGAGTAACTTGATCTTGCTAGAGTATATTTCCTTGAGTCGGTGCGCCTCCAACACAAAGTCGCTGAACTGCCCATGGAGATCTTCTGGAGAAAGGCCTTCCTTGATATCCGTAGCGACCTTTAGAGAGCTATCGGCAGACCACGACCAGAGAGAAATACCTCTTCAGGATAGAGGTCAACAGTGCGATAACGAGGAGCATGTTCCGTTAGGCCAAATAATTCAAAGCCTTGTCTAATAGCTTCGAGCACTACCTCCTCAAGAGTGCCCGAGGCATGTTTGCAGAATTGGCCAGAGTGAGAGTGATGGCTGTAAGGCATGAAGCTTTGAAGAGATGCGATGTCCTTGGCACAAACAGTGAATTGATCCAACAATTCAGTGTCCAGCTACTGTGTCTCTCACGATTACACTCTGATTCACACGCTTTCATGTTTATTCTCTAAGCTCTTCTGCTGTGGTCAGTTAACTTCTCAGTCCACAAGGGAAGTACGTTCCTATTCACTTGGCTTGTAAGAAATCATACTAGTGACATACAGTACCTGCGGTAATTTGACAAACATTATAGCACTTCAGGCCTTCAGGCCTTCAAGCATGAACGAATATACGCGTCACCAGGAATTCTACTTCCATGACGGAAATGTGGTGATCATGGCAGAGAAGATTGCATTCCGAATTCACCAAGGCGTCCTTTCGCGACACTCAACCATTTTTCAAGACATGTTCTCTCTTCCACAGCCCTCCACACATGATGAGGGCTACCAGATTGATGGCTTGCCCGTCGTGCATGTCTCTGATACGGCAGACGAGTTTGCACATGTGGTGGCGGCCTTGTACGATGGAGGTCTAAACCTCAGAAAGTAAGTCAATTCCAAGTTGTAGCTATTGACAATACCTGAAATCGTTAATCTCTCCTTGCGCTGCAGATCGTCCAATTATCATCAACCTCTACCTTTCTCTGTTGTCTCAGCGTATCTGCGGCTGGGTTCTAAGTATCACCTCGATGCTCTTCGCGAAGAAGCGATTGATCGCCTCAAACTCTGTTTCCCAACTCAACTAAAGGACTACGATCCTAACCTTTTCGATGCGACAACACCTACGCAGTCTCTACAGCTTGGCTGGAGACCCATTTCTATCTCGAGGTCCGACTTTATTGAGGTCATTGGGCTAGCTCGCTCATTTGACCTTCGGTACCTTCTGCCTTCCGCCTTCCATGCTTGCGTCCGGATGAACGCTTCACTGGTCATTGATGCAGTAGAATCAAGCCGCATATCTCTAGCAGACCTGAAACTGATTATGGTTTCGAAGGATTTCTGCCATGGGATATTCTTGGTGTACTCCAACCTCCTTGCGTTGAAACCTACTAGCGAGAATTGTGCTGACCCCGTAAAGTGTCGAGAGGCAATAACGCGCCATGAGCGTTCTGCTGTCTTCTCATCATCGACCGGATCGTTTGGAGATTGTCTGGAGCACATTCGAGATGAATCGCATGCAGTCGATGGCCTATGTCCAGCTTGCTGCAGCATGAGGAAACAGCGTCTGGAGCAAATCTGTACACATTTGTGGAAGGGATTGGTTTCAATCTCTGGATTGGATGCTTTGCATTAGCTCCCCCAGGAAAGAACAGAATGAATCCTGTGGTGGAGATAACTGGTTCTCCTTCCGCCGAAGTGTAAGGACGGTCGTTGCCCCTTGATCCTCCTCTGAAAGGGCATTCATGGCATACCTAATTAGCTGTTGTACAGTAGAATACATGATTCGTGTGAATGAGATGTCTATGAGGTCAAGAACTGCAACCAAAATTTTTAACTGGAGATGACCAGAAATATGTAGCTCAAAGATCGTCGCAATAAGACGAGTGGAATTAAGCATTACGCAGGTGCCTGCAGCCGCCGAGCTTTCTGTCCGGCGAATAATAACTTCGACGTCGACATACAAAGCACACCGCAACATAAGCAGACCTGTAAGCCGATTTGTCAATCACTATTGACTCAATAGACAAGTTTAACATCAAACGTACCCCAGCAAAGACGAGAGCTTTCCACCAAGTCAACGAGCTGTCATCATGGTGTGATTTACCTAGAAGTTCGCCCGCGATCGGATTCCCGACAAGATTGGCAACAGCGACCAGGGAAAAAGCCATGCCCATTCGGACGCTTGAGAGATCAAATTGGGTTAGCCACAGATAGGATGTAGAAACCAGCAGGCGTACCCAAGTTCGCTCATGTCCTTGCACATCATGGCAAGCAAGGACGGAATTAATGAAATGTCTGTCAAGATCCGGTCAGTTTGAAATTTTTATAATCGGTCCCCTAGCGAGAGAAGTTGAAGACAAGGATTTACAACTTACAAGCACCGGTGGAGAAACCGAAGAAAGCCGCCACAACCACAGCGCCAGCGCCATTATGGACACCAAAAATACCGAAAAGGACGGCAGCGGAGGTGAGCATTGACGGTATCATGATGTTGTAGACTCCAAGCTTGTCTGCGAGAGCGGTAGGCAACAATCGTCCGACAATACTACCTGCATTCATGATGGTAAGCTACCAATTGCAGCCGTCAGTAGACCAATAAAGCAAACAGCGCAGATAAAACGGCAATATCGGGCACGTACACAATCAGATGCTAGACTCTGGCTAATCCCTTTGTCGATGGCGTATAGCTGGTAATAGAAGACTGCATGAGAGCGTCAGTAATATAACAAATCGCTTCCATCCAATTGACATACACGGTATGAACATTCCCAGATTGGTGAGAAACGCGCTTCAAACAAACAAGCTTAACGTCAAAGTATGATGATCCAGGCAAGAAAGGCGCACCCCAGTATAGACCATAGGTACGCGCCGTCCCAAACTATCCGCCTGAAGATGGTCCAAGTGAGTGGGGGCTTTGACGAATGCGGCGGATAGTTCGTCCGCATTAACGCATTTGCGCAAAGTAGCATTACGCCAACAACCGCGCCGCTGACACGCACACCTCCGGTGAACCCCATGCGAGGATTCTGGAATAGGTGATTGAGCATGATGGGAAAGACGATCCCACCTGCAGATGCACCTGTGGCGACAATGCCGATGGCGAGCGCACGGTGAGCCTTGAAGTGGTGAGAGACGACACTTATGGACGGCAAGAACGTCATGCCGAGGCCTACACCCATGCCTACTGCCTGCGCAAGAAAGACCTGCGAAAGCGCAGTCCAGCGTGAGGTAATGAAAAATAAAGAGTGTGGCGTACCTGCCAGTATGTATCCTGGTGCGTCAACGAGAGCATGAATATGCACAAAACGTATATGATCGCTCCACATATCTCCAGGTGATGGCTGGACTGCGTTAGCTACGAATCCGGAAGGAATTGGTTGCACGACTCACAAGTAACCACTATCGAATGCATGCCCGACGAGTAATCCAGGCGCGTACATCAGAAACAATTGAAGGCTCCCTATCCAACTGGGAATGGAAGAACGGTCAGTAGATGCACGAGGCTCATGTAATTATGACATTAACGCGCCTAATCTCAGAAGGCGAGCTCCTGGAGAGGAACTGGCGAGTATAGAAATCTGTTGGTGGCAGGTCAGCATATTCAGGCGGAAATGACGCGCATATGGAAGACATGCCTTGATAGACTCCGAATGCGTTGACATATCTGTCAAAAGGCAATCTTCGGGTCAAAAACGCACCCTCTCTCAAGGTCCGACACCACTCACCCAAAGGTGCAAAACTGCACCATCCAACTAGAAAAGTATTGAGTCAACATTGTGTGCTCAATTGAGAACGCATACATACGCTCCAGCCAATGTAAGATAGTTCACAGTAGCCTGTCCATCCAGCGGCACAGGGCGCGATGTTGCAGGTTCTTGCTGTACCCCAGAGGCCGCGATATCACTTTGAATAGACCTCACTTTCGTGGCCGTATACTTCTCTTGAAGCGTCGATGTTTGAGAGTGGGCCATTAGGTCGTTACCATTCCAGCACCCGGACGGAGAAGGAGAAGGGAGAGAACGAGGGAGAGGGGAAAGCTGAAGGTCAGGCTTTCAAGGGTACCTTTCAACTGTGATACGCGAGGGGTAATGAAGGGATTGCGTGAATGACGATGGGAGAGTCGACACGCGGGAGTTTTTTTGTATTAGACACCTGGTTTCTCTGACCGGCGAAGCTCATACAGGAACATGGCATCAAAGAAGCAGTTACGATGCCCGAGATTGGGGATTCGGTTTCCAAGAAGCTAATCTCGCTACAGTAACCGGTCCACGCATGTCCAACAATGCGCAGACAACTGTCGCAAGAACATAGGATTTATCCGGCACTCCCTCTATTGCGGTGTAAAACGAGGAGTCTCATATTGCTGGGCATCAGAGCAAATGAGTAGCTGAGAATCCGCATGTTAGACAGACTCTAGACACTCACGACGAAGAATGCGTGAGATCGTCCTCATCCCGATAAAGGAGACCGCTATTCAGACAGAGTTCAGAGATTGACGTTCCCTGGCATCTCAAAGCAAATTCGGGACAGCCGAACTCCCACAGTGCATCTTATTGCCGTATAACTGCCTATTTCGAACCTGCGTGTAATAAGTACACAGCGCGCTGGACTGGATTTGGAAAGAAAAAAATACCGAGCCGGAATGGTGGTCGGCCTTTTCATTGAGTCATATGGTATTTCAACATACTCGATGTTTTGAGTTGACTTAGGCTGCAACCGAAGGCAGTCTGCATTGAACCCTTCCCACCATTATTATATGAAATTCTCGAAGCGTAATGGTCTCCACGATGGTTGACAGCATAAGCGTGCAACATCTTCATGCGAAGGGTAATGCAGAGATTGCTCCGCGACGTGGAAACCACATAAAACCTTCTTCACAAAGTATTCTGATATCATACCCACGGCGATTCCACGAAGTCAACCATATGCAGAAACGAAGACGGGCCCACAAGGCGTATTCATGTCGGGTAGAAGAAATAGACCGAGGTATGTTCACCGACTAACGCCCAGCAGGCACCAATCCCGGTGGAAGTTGAAGACGTTGAAGTCTATGCAGAACCCCGAGTGATGGTCATTACCGCAAGCGCATACATCTTATAGACAATGTGGTGTATGGCACGATGAGTGCACATATCAGTGGTGCGTCGGCTTCTTTCCTGTGAACGCCAAGAATCGGGTCAGGTGTGTTCATACACGGACAATAGTAGGAGAAAACACAACTTTTGGCGAAGTTACGTACCATCCACGAACATATTCCGCGTCGCGCTAGGTAACGTCGCAGTTATACCGTCAAGCCCACGGGCCAACTTCACTTGGCACCCAAGTCGCGACGTGTCTGTCAAACCGAATGCCATATCAAGCATGTCGTTTTCATCATCCTGAAAGTATTCCAACATTAGTCAGAATGAATGAAGTGATGCAGCACCAATAAAGAAATCGACTTACCTCTGGTTCAGGCAAAAGATCGTAATGTTCCGGGTCCACAATTACATGGCATGTCGAGCATGCAACAGATCCTTCGCACGCGCCTTGTAACAAGGTATGAATTCAACCGACTCCACCTTAAAACCGACGTATTCACAGAATGTGACGTACCTTCCAGATCAATATCATACTCATGAGCTATGCTCAGAATGTCGTCGCCTTCGTTGGCTTCAACGGTTTTAATCAAGTTGCCCTTAGAATCTTTGAAATGGACCTTGATCCTTCACAGATTCAAATATCAGTATGGATGACCAAACGTAAGAGAGATAGACGGTACCCTGTTCCAGGTGCAGGTCGCGTTATTGGACCATGTTGCGGTGCTAACGACGTATCATCAGCCAGGTGCCTGGTACAAACTACCAGTTCACGTACCTGCAGTCGAATGAAGACTTCTGCGACATGTCGACTGGCGATAAAGTGGTGACAAAGAGGATGTTAAGAGATTATGCCGTGTGTGGTGTCGAGTCCACTCGGTTCTACACCGGTCCAGGCTCCGATGGGTTCTAGTACTTGCGATCGTTTGTCTCGAGAAACTCCTACTGGCAACATGGCTCAAGCTCAGCGATGTGGTAGCCCGACGGCACGTTTCAGGTAGTGTTTGAATGGACTTCAAATGCAGCATGATTGAGTAGATATTTCGGTAATATGGTGTTCCGATACGATGGAAAGATGTACCCTGAAGCAGTGGTGATATGTGCAACAATGAAGTCCACAAAGAAAGTTCCTTTGTCGATAGGAATGTGAAAGTTGGTGCAGTAGTCCTGAGTCAGTCAAGTTTCCATTTGTCGCGGTCGGCCACAACAAAATATTCAGCTCGGCATCCCACGTGGTTATAGGCGCCCCATCGTCGATTGATCGGGGCAATCCCGATTTGGGTCCGATTGTGCTTGACCAGAACCACAGTCTCCTCTCCGCCGCACGCCAACCAAAATGACTACAAAGTCAGGTAGTAGCAGCGGAAAGAAGAGCCTGGAGGTGATGAACGAGAACAAAGCGAATGAAAACGCTGAAAAGGAGATGTTCAACGCTTCACACACTTTTATCACAACTTACAATCAATTGAATCATGCTGCCCTAGTACTCTCCAAGTCACCTTACCTCGTCGTCGATTGCGAGGGTCAGAACCTCGCACAGATTGATGGTCGGCTCTCATTTCTCGCGATTGGTACAGCACAGGCACGAGAGGTCTTCGTTATTGATGTCCTATGCATCAATAATAGGGAGGAGCACTCTGTTGCAGCTTTGCTGGCTTTACTCACCGACGAGTCCATTCCCAAGATGATGTGGGACGGTAGGGGTGACTATCTGGAGATTCTGCTATACTATGGTGTGTCTATGCAAGGAGTATGGGATCTTCAGGTTGCAGAAGTCGCGTCACGATCTCTTAGACGGGAGACAGACGATCAAAGGCTCGGACGGATTGTTTACCGTGCACAGTATGGTTGGAAGGCGGTCCGCCGCGATCGCCATTTATTTGAAGGAATACACATGGTTGAGGGTCTGAACGGAGTTGTCGCACAGTACAATGTTGGTGACAATCTGGCCAAAGACGGTGAGTCAACCACGATTACAATTGACTTTCAATGGATACATGCATATACTTTCGGATATATTGTATATCTATTCTGACAATGTTTCTCACAGCTGAGGTGGTTGCGATGCATAAGGCGGGAGGGAGTGAACGCTGGATGAGACGTCCACTTCCTGATCGCTTGGTGCAATACGCCGCGAACGATATCTATCTCATCGCCATGGTATACACATTTTTCATCAAAAACTGCTGGATACTTCCGGAGTTGCAAGCCCAATCTGCTCGATACATATTCCAAGAAACGACTCGTGAGCAGAAGGACTTGCGACAGCGGAACGGTGCCGGCCGTTACCTCCCTCTTGGCGTACTGAGCGATCCCGCACTATCGGGGCCCTTGTACGAATGTCTTCTTTGCACCAGATCCTTGGATCTTAGCTGCTATGAGACCACTCTCACCCATAAGCCACCCCCACCTACTGCACGCAAGAACAAGAAATCACGCAAGAAACCATCTTCGACCTCTGCATCCCAAACCAGTCCCGCGGGTAGTGGGAAAAGTGTCGCTCTTCTAAGGCGCAAACCTTGCTGTCGCTTATGCGTGGTTTGCGCTATGAAGAGCGGTATGATTCTCGACCATTCTTGGGTAGACGTCTAGTTGACGCTATATTTCGCATGATGAGATATGCGGCCACCAGATGAATCTCTCATTCTTAACTTTTATCTACAGATTTCCTCTGCTCTTCAGTATTGAACTCGCGCTGCTTTTTCTGACCTCCTCTATGCGGACTTGCTGTGAATCAGGTTTCTGTTTATCCATTTTCTTGTTGCAGAAGCAACGACCGTATTGCCGTTTGTCTTGGTTCTTATGGCCCTTTCAATCTTTTGAGGGGGTGAAACCTATTAGTGACGATATTGATATACATTTGCTGCACGAAGAGTAAAATGATGGTATATACAAGTTGCGAAGTCAGCTAGACTTTTATGTATGTATAGTATGAGAACGGATTGTATCGATGCGGAAGAGCTTCAGGCCTCAGGGCCTTAGACAGTCCGCTTGTCTCATTCTGAGGTGCATTCTTGACTATTGACATTTCCTGTTGCTTTCAATAATTCGTACCAAATGTCCTCTAGTTTGGGGTGCCGCAGTAAGTTACAACAGCCTTTGTGCGCATATAAACAGCCAGAAAACTGTTTCGATAGGAAGCCAAATCGACAAGAAGTCGAAGGCGGCTGTGATTGGCTGTGGCCGGCATGCGCATGCTTATGTAATACAGTCAGCTCGCGCTTAATTTTTTGCAATGTTTGTAAAGTCGAAAAGGCATCTATTCATTCGTTTATTTCCTTCGTCTTGAAGATTCCCCCTTCCTCTTTGCATTGGATACGCGATGGCTACCGTTATAGAGTTGCCAGTTATACCACCACCTCTGCGTGCAGGCTGGACTGCACCACAACCATCCGGAAAGTCCATTTCTCGTAAGTGCCCTTCTTTCTTCTACTTCTCTGATTCTTCAGTCTGTTCAACCAAACGATTTCATCTGATATGACACCTTATAGCTGTTGTCGAGAGACGACTCCTCCCTGCAGGCCCAGCATACCTCGCACATGTGCGCAGGGCAGTCCATAACCTCACCTTTGAAGAGCATGACAAACATGAAGAGGAACGTCGACGTCTTGAGGCTTTGGCCAGCGGCGAGAATGGCGGCACTGGCGAAGAGGACGTTGATATTGGAGATGAGGAGGAGCCAGAGGATCTGTTGAGCCTCGATCCTAAGGAGTGGAAGGTTCGTCTTTCACGTTACCATCTTTCATAGCTCAACTGAATTTTGTCTGCAGAAACAAGATCATTATGCTGTTTTGGGTCTCTCGCACCTACGATACAAAGCTACTCCCATACACATCAAAGTTGCCCGTACGTGTTTTTGTCCGTTTTCTACAAGTCGACGTCCGTACTTACATCAACGCATCTAGACCGAAAGAAAGTCCTTAAACACCACCCCGACAAAAAGGCAGGCGCGATTGGAGACTCCAACGACGACGCTTTCTTCAAATGTATCCAAAAGGCATTCGAAGTGCTCACCAATCCCGAACGTCGCCGTCAATTCGATTCCGTTGACCCTTACTACGAGCTCCTCGAAGCTGACGTCCCCACCGCCTCTCAAATAAAAAACGGGAGGGACCCCGCAAAAGCCTTCTTCGAGCAGTTCGCACCTGTCTTCGAGAGGGAATCACGTTTCAGCAGGAAACAGCCTGTGCCTATGTTGGGCAAATACGGGGATTCGAAGGAGGTTGTGGAGGGTTTCTATGACTTCTGGTATAACTTTGACAGCTGGAGGAGTTTCGAATACTTGGACAAAGAGATTAACGAGGGTAGCGATAAGTCCGTATCCCAGCTTCATTGCCCTTATGTGTTTTTGGAAACTCAATTTTTGATTTCCCTGCTAGCCGAGACGACAAGCGATACACCGAAAAGAAGAACAAGTCCGAGCGTGCGAGACGCAAGAAGGAGGATACCGCTCGTCTGCGCCAGATCGTCGATTTAGCGCTCGGTCTCGACCCTCGCATCAAGAGGATCAAGCAAGAGGAGAAGGAGGCTCGTGAGGCCAAGAAGAGGGGCAAGAGTGGTACCCCGAATGGCATGAGTAAAAAGCAACAAGAGGAAGAGGAGAAGAAGCGAAAAGAGGAGGAGGCCAAGAAGAAGGAAGAGGAAGAGAAGGTACGGTTTCTTTGCATCTCATGTGCTCTCGTTCGGCTCGCGTCGAATGTCTTGCTAATATATTGTCTTATATTTCTAGGTGGCTCGTGCAGAGGCGAAGAAGGCAAAAGCTGCTGCTGCCACCGCTGCTAAGAAGGCACGACGACAGCAACGTGCGGCGGAAGGCAACGGCGACGCATAATCGACAACGGTGAACAGATGATGAAGATATGTCCCTTCTCTATCACATTCACGGCGCGTGGTCCTTATCGTGCTTTCCTCTTCTACGTTCTTCTCTACATATTCTCTAAGACCCTTTAACCTTGTTTATAAACCGCATGTCTCCTTCTCACGCTTTCGTCACATCATCGACTCTTTTCTGGTCTACTAGATTCATCTGTTTGTGCTTGCAGTATAGATTCCTTGTTGTTCATCCCAGACGTGAAGTCCCCTTTGTCAATCCTTATTCTGCGACGCCACTGTGCTCAATTTCTTGCCCACGGGTGCATGCGCAGCCTGGCTTCAGGAAGCTGTCTGGAAGGATCGATTAATGTTCTGCAGAAGGCCAACGCTTCTTTTTCCCATTGACGTACACCTTCGACGAGATTATTGCAACCGGAGGTAAGCTGTCGTTCCGCTGGAGGTTGTGAGATCGTCGCGGTGCCGCATGCAAGTTGTAATTAGACGACGAGCAACTATTCTCGGTCTGGCCACTATTCCCAGTCTCGGACACCAAGCCCGGATCGTCGTTTGGTCTAAATGCGGTAGGGCTATTTTAGGTGGAGGTAAGGATCCCAGCCGATAGAACTTTTTGACGTCGTGTGTTTACTCGGGAATATTCACAGCTCTGCACCGTTCTACTTCATCTCGAGAAGGGTTCGTAACCCGCGTGTGTACGTGAATTAAAGGCTTCTTCGTTGGACTCGTAGAATTGGATAGTCAATTAAGCTCTAGACTGTGATCAATTGAGATGATTGACACCTTTCGTGTGGGCACAGCTCACTCTGTTGGGAAAAGTTCATCCCATGTCTTTGCCGCTATGAAAGCTTCATGGGATGATAGAGGCTGGTTCTTGTGATCAGCTGGACATTGATTTCTAGTCTCTCGTGGGCGGCATAAGCCGGCACTATGTCCCTTTGCAAGTTGAAGCTTGTGTCAGAAGCTCTTCAAGTCACAACAACCAATCGGCTTAACTGGAGGTATGTGCATGGTAATAAATTCGCCGTGACGTCGTCTTTCCAATCGTCTTCACACCAGGGACATTTTCACGCGCAGGCTCACCAGGCTGGTCATGTACATCAAAGATCTTTCAGAGCCTCTCATGTTCTGGAGAATCTCAGTGAGAAGATTCACCGGCGATTTCTAGGTCTTATATCTATACCTCCCAGTGTGCCGCATACATCTGTGAACCCCGATACCTTCTTGCTTCAGACACCAACTTCTCTCATTAACATGACCAACTATGAATCTCGGCTTTCCAGCTCAAACGCTTGGGTGGATCCCCATTCGTTGCCCAAATACGGCGATGCTTCTGACATTGCCGGAAACGCGCCGGATTATGTGAAACAACTCACGAACAATGTGCTCGGTGCATATGGTGTAGGCGAACCGAGTTGCTTTGCTCACGACGTTGGGAAAAAAATCAAGATGGTGGAACTTGACATCCATAGACGAGGAGAAAAGTGGCAGGCAACGGCAACCGTTGATTTGACTGTCTCTCCTAGTAAGTATATCTCTTGAATTTCGAGTGAGTCCGATTGACTCTTAGCCTGGCAGGCATGTTGAATGGCGCAGGCGTAATGCATGGTGGTGCGCTATGCTATGTCATCGACAAGTGAGAAATGGCCAAGATGCTATCAAAAGTCTATCTGACGTCTGTTTTCAGTTGCGCTTCCCTTCCTCTGGTGGCTCTTGGCTTAATGCAGGGCACCAATGGCGTGGGCGTGAGCCAGGTTCTCAACGTCTTCTTCCACGCACCGGCTGCACTGTACGCACCTTCTCTATCTTCTCATCAAGAATCATGCTAATTACTGTACGCTAGCGGGTCGAGTCTACGTATCATCAACACATCTGTCACATTGGGTGGCCGTGTCATGACGTCCAAGTGCGAGGTGTGTGCATTTTGATTCCGCACTCAGTTTGATCAGACTAACTATATGTTCACTCGTCCAGATTCTCGAGAAATCCTCTGAGAAACTGATAGCGTCGGCTCTTTTGAGCAAAATGCAACCGGCACAGAGTAAATTATGATCATATGCGTGTAGTCGCGGTTTGGATTGTTCGCTTATGATGCGTACAACTCAGCGGCGGAGTTCCCTTCTTCCTTTTCAGAATTTTACCTTTTTTAATTCTCATGAGATCAAGCCTCCTGGGAAGGTGAACACATTCATTCCTCATGATACTGGCTTCTCCACTTTACACAATGAAATACTGCTGTCACAATCTAATATCCAGATGTTCAAGCCTATTCTCCAAAAACGACTTTTTGGTTTGGCTTCCATAATGAAAAAAAGTCTCGGTCCGCGGCCGTATTCGCATTTGTTTTAGCCGATCTTTGACTTTGGCAAACTAACACCTCCATCTTCTGACCATGCCATTAGCGGAAGCGGCCACCTACGTGTTGACTACTAGTACAGCGGCTTTCGGCTAATCCTTGGCCATCCTGACTTCGTCACATGTATACCACCGTGAGTACCTCAAGTACTCTTTTGGTTCATGAAACTTACGGTGCCCTTAGAGGTCAAACGTTGCTGTATCGTTGTAGACGATTGAGTTTAGGACCTCGCAATGTTCTCGGAATAGATACACTTGGGCTGAGAACATCCACCCAGTTCAAGGCACGTATCCTCAGTCATCAAGGGTCATGGCTCCAGATACGCAATAGAAGAAGCATTCTTATGAAATACCGACCCTTCTTGTGCTATGGGTCCATCTGCTACGTCTCAATCATGCGCGATTGCACCAGAGAGCACAAGACATTTGGCGGATCAATGTACGAGAGACGGGTTGATTGTTCCACTCCTGACGCGTTTTCCAGGGCATTCTATGCGGCGTTGTTCTAGGCACATCACCGCGGGGAGAATGCGCAAGCAAAACCTTGGTTTATCCGACAAAGGCAATTTATGATGTTCATTACGGCAATACAACATATAAAAAGAGCTCCACAAGACATAGCAAGAGGCAAGCACATTCGTCGTTGACGGTTTTAAGCTTGTCTTAATAACGAAATGTTCTCCAAGACTACTTTGTTCGCTATCGTTGCTACCGCTCTTGCTACTCGTAGCTCCATGGCCGCACCAGTCGAGGTGAGTAATATTACTGCACGACTACTGACTCTGCTAATCAACGACGGGTTTTCTTTATATAAAGGCTCGCGCCGCCTGGGACGTCAAGTCTGCTGCCTTGGCATACGTTGGAAAGGAGTGGAACGTTACCCCTCTATACGACGTTTACTTCGATTCTGCCGTTCAAGGCGCAAACGGAACATACGCCTTCCTCCGTCAAAAGACTGTAAGAGATTTGATCGCCCCAACTAGTGATCCTCACTGAGAAACATTTATGTTGCAGAATGACCTCCCCGTCGACAACACGTTCGCCACAGTTGTCTTCGACGCTAACCACAACGTACAACAGTTCAAATCGTACCGCGTCCCAGCCAGTAAGTGCTTCACCCATTCGACACTGAGCTCAAGCCTTGGCACGGTTGCTGACTAATTCCATGCAAATTGCAGCATACGTCGAGGTAAATATGCCAACCATCAGTATCCAAGACGCCGCAAATGCTGGTGAAGCCGCCTTATCCGGTCTTACCTGGACGTCGGAGCCGGAGAACTACGGTTACATCGCACGTTCGGATGGTCATATCGCATTCGCCTATATCTTACACCTCAAGGACAGCCAGGGTACTGTATATGTGGCATATGTGAATACTCGTGACGGCACTATCGAGTCGCTTACGAACACCCAGACCGGTGTAAACATCGTGCCTCACTAGTTCTTTGGGATTGTACCTATCATGTGTTGAGTACTTGTATCGGTATTTTGAAATTTCAGATACAAATATGGCACGGTTTGGGGATCGTGACGTTACCAGAAGCCATGTTTGAGGCACTGGACTATCATAATGTGCTTATATCTGGTCAAAAATGAAACCTTACCACCAAGAAGGTGAGGGCTGCTGACCCTCATCTGCACAAGCGACGAAGCTTCGCGTACTAGGCCGGTGTGTGTCGAGACCACACTCTTGATGATCTCAACGCTAGCATCGCGAAGCATATTCGCAATAGGGTTGTTTCTTCTCCCGATAGTGACGAGACTGAAGTTAGTATTTGACTGTAGAACATGGCAGGTTCGACGTTTGCTTTACTAATTCTAAACTGAAACCCGCTGACAGTTGTTTCAGCCACTAGCATTTCTATTGAACGACGTAAGGGAAGCTCTCTTCACTGTCCAGAAGTTTATCGTCCTCGTTCGACATAGTAAAGAACGCGGCGTAACAATACGGATAAGCGATAAATTACATCTTGGTCACGGAAGCAATATCCACCTCGCCAATAATTTAGGGAAATTTGGCGTTCCAAGACCAGTGACAGGATCCCAGCCTTCCGTAGCGTTAAATCCAAAAGTTCGACAACCAGGGTTCGTACCACTTGTAATATCATTGAACGCATCTCGGAAGCCAGCGGAATATATCTGTAGCGAAAGTCTCAGGAGGAGCACTAAAAGGTATATAACGGATGGGACTCACGGTCGGGTTGATGAATCCAATTGGTGTCTTTCCGATAGCCAGTCGAGCGTCATTAACAGCGGTGAGAATAGCTCCAACCACAGGCGAAGAAGCGGAGGTGCCGAATACTAGACTAAACTCGCCGTTCACAGCAATAACATAGTTAGCGCTGCGCGGTGGAATACCGTGTCAGCGAACGAGATATTGAATAGAAAGCGGACAACCCACCCATTGGCAGAGATATCTGGGAATGCACGAGAGGCGCCGGTGGAGTTCCAGATGTCCTTCGGATAGGGAGGCGGAGAGTTGGTCAAATACGAGTCGACAGCCTCTTTCTGGTAATCCGGGATAGGGAAGTAGTTGCTGAATCCTCCACCAGAAAAGATCACTTGTTCACAAGCGACCTCAGGATCCGTCACATTGGCACCTGGGTTGAGTTGAGTAGCACCCTTACCAAGGTTATTAGTAACTCGCTCGAAGCGGAAACCAGACGTGAGAACTCACGACGCTGGTGATAAAAGGGCATCCTCCGGGGAACGAAGGATTGAACAGTTTTCCATCTCCTGTCTGGCTTCCATCCGGGTTCAAGCACAGATTGCCATTTCCAGCGACACCAAAATCACCAGACGAGTATAGAACTGTGACACCCATGAGACCGAGCTGCAAATTCAGGTGATCAACGCGACGCGAAGAGCATCAAGTATCGAAGCACATACCTTCGCATACTCGGCACATTGGCGGGCAGTGTAAGCAGGAGTTAAGTCAGCTTCGTTGTAACCATACGAAGTGGAGATGACGTTAGCAGGTTTCTTAACCTTGCCACAATCTTCTGGTCCTTGGTACCCTCCGAAAGGATCAGGGTATATACCATCCTGGCTAATATCATTACCGCCTTCGAACGTGCAAAACGAAGCATCCAACGCGTCGAGGAAGTTGTTGAATGATGCACCTATTTCGGAAATATCAAGAAACGTCCTTCCAGAAAACAAGAATTAACTGACCTTCGACATCGTCTCCGACTTGGTAGAGTGTAATCTTCTGCTTCTTGCCAACAAGAGCCATACCAAACTGTAGGTCCAAATTCGATTCACCGTTAAAGCCGAAACCGATCTGAGACGACTGGACGAAACCTGCGAAATCGATACGATTCAATGTGACAAGGGAGACAGAAAGCAAAAGTCAAATATATACCTCCGTCAATACCAACGAGATCAGGTCTCTGACCCACTTGACTCTTGGAGAAGTTCGTGAAAAAGAGATCGAGATCCTCTGGAACGTAAGCCTGAGGCGTGTATTCCACTGCGACAATGACGTTTATTAGTCAAACAGAGTAATCGTAACATACAAACAGACCTATCCCGTAGCTGTTTTTGTTGGCTGCAAGTGGCACGTAAATGAAGTTGTATAAGGCGCGAAGACAGTTGGGTGTAATAAACTGGTCGCATTGCGAGAGTTCATCAAGGATATGCTACCACAGTGCCAAATTTAAGCATGAAAAATCTCGAAAGGAGAGGTAAGAGTTGCCTTGATGAATCCTGTGGTTTTGGGAATAACCACACCAGAGCCAGGTTGTCCGATGCTCTTGCCAACACCTGGCTTAGCGCCATGGTCACGTTTCTCAGAACCAATAGGTTCTCGTTTCAGTTTAATATCAAAGTGAATGGTAGGCGTGACGAGGTCAACGTGCTTTGAGATGTGCTCCGGTAGATGGTAACCCTGGCCACACGCGATATGCCTGGTGCCCGTGTCAGCATGTTCGTAAACATGGTATTCCGTCATCAACAGTGATTCGGCTTCATGGACAGTGACATTTGCCTCAATCCAGCCACCGTTGCCGTTGAGTTTTACTCTGGACACAGCGATGCCTTCCGAATAGAGCCATTGTCGTACCGTATCGACGGAGTGCTTTGAAGGACGGAAAGTTGACGCGACCTTCTCAGGCGACCAGTGCTGCCCATAATTGGGAGATTCAGGATGAGAAACATCAAGAAGCAGAGTCTCTATCTGGTCCAAGTTTGGTTGCACCAGACCAATGCGTAATGGAAGTACAGAGGTAGAGGGAGCACGACGAACGGGCGTCCACCCAGAAGGAAGGTTGCGACGGAACTCATGGCGAACCGAAGGGGAAACGAGGGGAGACGACGCGTGCACCACTAATAACAAAGAAAGGAGCGCAAGAGGGTGAGTGAGCAACATTCTGTCTGCCTCGCGAAAGATGAAAAGGTCGCACCACGAAAGATCCGTTGTCATTCCTCCAAGCACACCTTATATCTGCCTGAAAGGATGCTTCTATCAAGTTTCAGGAGGACATGTCTAAGGCTCATGTGCTTCTGAGATTGCAGTTTGATATCTGAAAGCCGCTTTTGAAGGTCAGCAACAGATATGAGGAGGGATCCATGTGCTGATGCGACCTCACCGACGGACGACGTGACACTATTCCGGTAGTGTTTGTTCTCCTGACATGACCGGGACACTCACTTGCCTGTTTAATACCGACCATGGCAACTATAGAACATCAGTCTTCGTTGCCCAGTCGACATCGTGGAAACCACCAAAGAAATTACTTGTTCCAAATGGAGTCAAGTCAGGGTATGCAACACCGAACTTTCCACTTCAGTACTGGTAGACGCACAGGTACTTCGCTTCAATCAGCTCTTCAATTGTTTTTCGTAATTCCAACCTTTTCTTCTCTAGATATCTGCGCGGCAGACGTTCCTCATGATCCTGAGCAGCATGGGCATGTCTTGACCTATCTCACAGGCTGTAAAGCGTGGCAACTCTATGTTCCAGTCAAGAGAGTGCAGTGTCGCTTGATGATGGATCCATAAGCTTACGAGTAGAGTTCTTTTTTTATAACTTGGTGCACGATGGTAAGCCACTGCTGACGACCTCTACCTCACCAGTTCACCGGGTAGCTTTTGTTGGCATTCCACACTGGTCGGGGACGGTCTCATGTGAGCCCTAAATTATTGTCAACAGATTCGAATCCGTAAGCGAACTCCATCACACTACTTGACAAAGATGACAGATGTTAAGTCGTGTCTAACGCAGTGAAAACATTCCCGTTGAACTCCATCCAAACGCCTCTCGTCCTCTTTCTACGAGACCTATAGCATCTTGTAAGTCGTCGATTATAGCAACACTTCAAAGTACCACGTCACGTTCACTCACCTCGCACGCATCAGGAACATAATGTCGCAGTGGTATGTGTAGTACCGGGCAATGTCACAATGGTGCACCACATCGTCCCTCCAATCCAATCGCTCGTGCTGCTCGTAGCAGACACACTTGGGAGCGTCGTGATTGTTGGAGACGTGGTCTCGCTGCTAATAATGGACGGCTCTCCAGGAATTGTGGTGACAGTTGGCAATCCGATTGGAGTCCAACATGTTGTCGTTCCCGCATCTCTACTGGAAACTGTAGGTGCAGTATCGCTTCCTGAGCTGGGGCGTGTAACGGTCGTGGTTGCAACGTGACTAGTAGCTGGGCTTTGAGAAGTGCTATTAGTGACTGGTCGAGGTTCTCGACCCTTGATGGCGAAAGACGACACGCAGAGAGTGACACATGCGAGAATGAAGGCGTGGAGTAAGAAGTTCATGTTAATCTTTTCCTGGCTTCGTTCACCGGGTCCGACAGAGATGCCACAATGTTTATATCCTCTCGGTTTTGACTTACCAAGGGTTTCTGTCAATTACAGTTCAGCGGTCTGTGTTATTCTGTCCGCCCGAGTCGGACTGCTCATGCCATAGGAACATAGATATGTGTCTCATAGACTGGTCCTGATGTACACTTGACTACTTGAAAGGATGAATGCTTGAACTTCGGTAACCTGTCGGTGATCGATATTCGTGATAATATCGACATTCATACATGCCGACGGTGTCTATATTCGGGTTGGTTCTCGATTGAAATACGTATCCGGTCGAGGTGGAGAACTTCCGAAGCTGCGACGACAAAAAGTCGAAGTCAGGCTTGTCAACAGTCATGTGGCAGGAGCCTTGATATCTGAATAGAAGACTGGTACCTGAAGAGATCCAGGCTCTAAACTGGTGCGTATCATCCTTGATGCCTCTAGTTGGCACCACTACTTCGAGTGAAATTCATAGGCAAGTTTGTGCGGCTCGGTCGGTACTAAATACATAGGTATATTTCATGTCAGAAATTCGAGTGACTCCGACTAAAGCCTTCATCAGTTAAAATTGTCAAGGACATCGAACGATACATGTATGCACACCTTGTTCTGTGAATGGCGAAGGGTCTTCTCATAGGCTTTGACTTTCCTCTCCGACTCCCAAAGTCGGGAGTTGAGTAATGCAATTTCAGAATCTTTCTGAGATGTCGCACGCTCCAAGGTATCGCACATCGTTTTCCACTACAGTTGGTGGCAATGCAGGAGACCCAGGAACATCGTCACCCTCAGTATTTATCACGGCAATATTAATGATGTTTTGAAGAGCACCTGTTCAATCTCTTGCTGCAGTTGAACTTCTCGATCACTAGCACGTAGCTGAGACTGTAACGCGGCGATTATCCTCTCCATGTCCTCACACTTTCTTTTCTCCTGCATGACTGCACGTTCTACGGCCTTATCAATCAGTTCTTCGATGGCTGTAGCACCTCTAGCAATTGCACTGGACATCTTTGGTGTATGGCCCGGGGGACGTCGATTGTACATCGCGAGAGCAGGAAGGAATTCAGATAGTCAGAAAGAACCTTGACTTCGATATCAAAGTATGAAGGATTAAACATAAACAGGCAGAATCCACACAGCTTGACAAACCATTCTGAATTAGGTCGCCGAAGGAACTTTCGACCTGCTTGTTATTGTTGTCTATAAATGGCAGATTGGCGATCAAAGCGATCGATCTTGCTGACATAAGCTCACGTGAGCTGTTCAAGTCGCGTCGCGCCACGGTCTTGATCATTAAGACCTCCATCTCATTAGCCGGGTTCCATTCCCCCCGTCGAATCTTTCAGTCTGACACAACCATATTAACATTTCTAGCATGGCTCTCCAAATATTGAAGGAGACCAAAGGAACTATGGCAGCCAGACATCGCCTCCCAAGTCCACCTAGTTCTCCATCACGTCGCGCTACCTCTTCTACTACGTCTGGCATTGCGTTCAGGTCGAAGCTACTTGCTGCACTGGATGCAGAAATGGAGGCCCTTAGACTTGAATCTGCAACCCTAATGGGACTTTCCAGAACGAAGACAGCCACGAACGAAGGGAAGAAACTGGACACACTTGTTCCAAAGACTTCGCAGCGATCGATTGCTCAACCATCTATACCGTCAGTTTGATCACTTGTGATGTTGGCGTATTTAATTGAGAATAGAACAGGGTTCATCCTTTCTTTCTTAAAGATAAGCCCACGAGCATTGCCGCTTCCACTACCTCGGCGCCGGAAATGAAACCGTGGAGTGGCGAGAAGACAAAGACGAAAACGTCTTCCCTTCAAGAGATTGCCTCTTTAACCGCCATAACTACTATTGACTTGACAGTTATGGGTGATGAAGTTCTCGACGAAACGCCGAGCCCGAGCGTCGAGAAGCCGCTTTATAACTACAAGGACTTTTCTCCCGAACCCACAATAGTGTATACATGTCACGAAGAAGAAGCAAATGACCTTGTACAGTCACTACAAGGGTATTTTATTATTCATTCCTGTGAGCCGTGAAATTGACTTGCAGTTCTAGACCCCTTGGATTCGACTTGGAATGGCGGGTTATCTTTCGTAAAAATGCTGCATACCGAGAACGACGCACAGCGTTAGTGCAGCTATGTGATACAAGAATGATCCTACTCATACACGTGAGCTCAATGAAAAGTGAGTGACATCGTGTCCATGGCTGACATGAGGACTGAGAGATATCTTTAGAATTTCCTCAGAAAGTGAAGGTAAATTTACTGATTTATTTCATTGAGGGCATGGCTCAAAGCTACCTATAGGAGATCATAGAATCCCCTGAAATAGTAAAGACAGGGGCGAATATTCGAAGTAAGGCCAACTTTCCAAATCAACATGTCGACCTACTGAAATATGGCGTGCCCCTGACAGACGATGGACAAAAGCTCTTCCGAGATTTTGGTGTCCTTGCAGAGAATCTTGCCGAACTAGGGGGTCTAGCTCAGCAAGCGGACTCAAACTTCAAGACAATACACAAACGTTCAATTGTCAGCCTAGCAAAGATGGTCAACATGTATGCAGACAGAACTATGGACAAGGGTCCTGTCCGAATCGGCAACTGGGAAGCGGCTCCGTTGTCGGATACTCAAAAGCATTGTCAGTTCATAATTCTGACTCTCCCATTCTGGCTGCTAGTAGTTGACCCCTTTTAATCGATCGTCAGATGCAGCAAATGATGCACACTCCGGACTAATGGTTTATAAACGACTGATAGACCTTGCAGAGCGGAACAAAGTCATCCTTATACCCTCTAAATATACCTCCAACCTCAGGCAGGACTATGCATCTGGCAAACTCACGGCTGCCATGACTAAGACCTGTATCTCTCAGTCGATCAGTTTGAGTCAAGCAACGTTCACAGCTCCTACGCCCTACACAACACCAACCAGTTCACAAGTGTCGACACTCGCCACTCAGATCACTCAATGGCGATCGAAGACTGAGGTCCAACCAGGAGATCCGCCTCGCTTACAACACGTCCGCGCGTATAATCTTTGGTACAAAGAGAATATGTCTCTACAGGTGATATGCGCCAAGTTGAGGAGTCCAGATAACCCCCTCGCAGAAAGTACTGTTATGTGAGTATCGGGGAATGTTTAGCGATTGAGACTAATGACTTGGTGATGATCTAACAGTTCATACGTCGTCCGAGCAATTCAAGCAAACCCCTCGTTACCATTCGACATGGTCCGTTTGAAAGCTTTCGTACAACTTGAAGCTGGTTCATGGACGAGACATAGAGAATGGCTACTGGAGATGGACTCGTTATTGGCTGACGGTTAATAAATGCTTGGTTCAAAAGTGGTCTGCATTGACTTTGTATTTTTTATTTACTAATTATCTTGTACGTCGTCGCTTGGCTTGACAATGTAGGAATATGTCCAAATTCTGAACCCGTCACCGAAGGAGAAACAGGAGGATGGCGCTCGGGAAAACAGCGGTGACAACCCAGTTTCTCACTGCATATATCCGCTACGTGAAGCCGCTCACACCCGACGAGAATTTTTCGAACACATCCAGAGGGAATACGTTGGCTAGGGCCTGATATCCTGCCACATTCAGATGTAGAAAGTCCCCTGAGTTGAATTGGGGGTTCAACCGCGTGCCATTGTTTGGATCTTTGGCTGCCGCATCGAAATCCACAACCGCATCATAAATCCCCGTGCTGACACTATCCCTGATCCAAGTATTGATTCTCTGTCTCGTCCTTTCGCGATTGGGGTCAGAATATGGCTGTATAGCAGCGCTCGGGGCCCCAAACGGCGTTATTGTGGCAATGAAGATTGGAATGCCGAAAGCGTGCACGCGAGTCGCGATTTGCTGGAAAGCGTTAACCAACCGGTCATAAAGTGCATCTTGTACGGAAGCAGTAGTGGCTGCGGTACCGATATCGTTAACACCCTCGAAAATCATCGCGAACTTGACGCCAGACTGAGCGAGGACATCACGGTCAATGCGACCTTGAGCATTAGGTCCCAGACCGTCAGCAAGGATACGGTTACCGCCGGCCGCTTGATTAACCACAGCGATGGACTTTGTGGGCGTATTTGCTTGCATACGAGCCAGAACCAGGTCGGGCCAGCGATTGTTGTGGTCAGGGTCGCTGCCACGCCCGTCAGTAATGCTGTCTCCAACGATGGCAAAGGCGACATTGTTCTGGGGCACCCAAGCTTCGACAGCAATGACAAAGTACCTGCAGTGAAATAATGAATACTGTAATCATTCATGAGTTAGCGACGGTACAAACCAATGCTGTACAGTTGTGGGATTCGTAAGGTTGGTATCTGTGGCGTGGTTACCGTTCACGAAATGAATCGTCGTCCGACTACCAGGGTGAGAGGTAATGGCGTTGCTCGCTTGACCATCTTGGAGGAACATCGTCACAGTAATCATCGACTGTGGTTGGATGCGGAAATTGATTGGGTCTGATACAACGAGTGCACCATTCGGGACGATCACAGAAGAGTTACCGCTGAAGGTAACGGTCTGGAGAGTTGAAGGTTCAATTGCACTAACACCAGCAGTGCCATTAACGGGAAGCGCAACCGTCACAGCAGTGATGGGTAAATCGGTGGTCCCAAAGACATTGGAGAATCGAATCCGGATCTGCTCTGCTCCAATAGACATGTGTAAAGTCTGACGAATAGTGGAGTCTCGGAAGACAGAGCCCGTTTGATTCTGCAGCATGCAAAAAGTGAGCAATGGTCCAAATTCTGTAACTCTTCTGAAAGACTCACAAACGGTGCAGGCGGGAGATTTTCTGGCTCGGTCAACTGTGGCATAGCAGTCCAAGTGTCAACCCAATGTCCATTAGCAGGGTTTGGTGCTATTGTGTCTCGGTGTCTCGCCTGAACATTTTGCAAACTCAGCGTGGTAAGCCAAAGAGCAGCAACAAACGTGGTCAAGTAGTTGTAATGCATGATGAGGACCTGAAAATACCCATCGTAGAGAATGGTAAATTTATAAGTTTGTAGGCCAATCCATGGTACCAATAGGTCACAACTCGTGATAGGGCAGCTGACGTCTTCACGAGAATAGATGCCAGCGAGCGGGAGTTTCGCAAGGGTTCTTTGTCGGCGATGGAACTCGCCAAAATGTGCACCCGTGTTGTGAAGTCAACGGATTGAAGGACTCCTTTGCGCGCCACTTGGAGTGGATAGGAAGAAATTTAACTAGTGCTAGATCGACGATGCAATATCATGATAGACCCATTACCACCCGATGTGTGAAGGTTGAAGGTTAAAGCTTGACTCGAAAGTCATGCCTACGTCGGCGAATTCTCGGCTCACGACTCGTCTGGTTTTCCCTACACACAGACCTTTCAGCTCTCACATATTATGAGCAAAAAGTAATTCAAGGACGTACGCACCGCTGGGCTGCGCATGAGGAAGACATAGGATGGAACATGATCACGTTCAGCCAACGCTGCCCAGCGAAATGTTGCATGGGTACGGTCTGACGGCAGGTAGGGACGAGATTAGTTCAGGTTACAATCTCTTACGAAGACGTGAAACTTGGCCGATATATAAATAGTGGTTCATGAACGGGATCCGGGAGGCAAGGCGGCGCGCAGACCGGGTCACCAGGGACAACAGGCACAGGTGACAGATCCCAGACTCCTCGAGCAAAGCCATAGTAGTTGTATGAAATGTTCAGACTACACATGTGCGGGCCGGCGGGACAGAAAGTAATATTGTCGTCAGCGAAGTGCCCGTCGAGAAGATATGGTTGGAATTCCATTAGCCAGGTGAGAAGCGTTGGTCGATACGTGACTTCAAGCGATGCACATAGCAAGAGATAGTACAGGAATTCAGCAAGCCATAGCCATATAAAGCGAGCCGTCGGAGCTAGTCAGAGCAAAGGGCAATGTCAACGGTCCTGGGTGTAAGCTTGCAACATCGCCACAAATCGCCTCAATGCAGGTAGTCTGTTAAAGATTCGAATCATTGTTGTATAAGCTTGATGGTACAACGGGGTATCATCATAGGCTACGTGAGCAGGGGTAAGAGAATCAGTAAACGGTACGAAGCGCAGGAGGAGTGGTGAGGAGGGAGCAGGAAGAGTGGGGAGGGAGGGGTCGACAATAATATACACAGACGCAATGCTGTCATGAGATAGAAACAACCTGGAAAGGACCTGTCAGAGGAAAGCCACGACCACGAGAATCATGTACTCGCACAACACAAAATACAACCATCATCAAGGAACCTTAAAATGTCTCCTGGACTATCTGCTCCCCAGCCTCATTCGAGAACTGCTCGAACGAGGATATAGTTCCCTCCTCAGTGCGGAATATCTCCCAGTAGCTCATGGGCTTTCCAGGCATATCGAAGAAAGCGTATCGCAGGGTCTTTATATAATCTGCCGTCTTTCGCATACAGGTCTTCACGTTGAGGCTATGGAGGTATTGCTGGACGGGGTTCGGTGTTCGTAATGGTGCGACCAACGAACTTTCATCGTCGTTCTCTGTTTCAAAATGCTCCGTGCGAAACCATTCTGTGGGGGTAGGATGCCAGATGAAGCGGAAGTACAAGGTAGTAATGGTGAGGGTCTGGAATAGGTCGCGCAATTGGTGCTGTAAGCAATGTCAGTAAGCAAACGAAAACTGAAATGAGATGAAAACCACTTACGATATATGCTCGTATATCTTTCAAGCCATTAACGTCGTATGCGTCAATGGTCGCAGACAAGTGTTTGACATCCGTGGAGCGCAAGATCATACGCAGTTCTTCGACAGACAACTTGTCCATATGAAAGTAGATCTTGATGGACTCCGGCCGCGTGCTCTTGCAGACTTGCACTAACCTCGCCACATCCGAGGAAGATGGCCAAACGGATAGACATCGCACCTTGCATGTAGGGGCTAGGCAATACAGCAACATTACGTCACCTTCCAGATAATTGAGGCTCGGCCATGATAAGCGTGCCTGAGCCCGCATGTTCTCGTTATGAATATGCAGGGCTTCCTCCTCATCCAATTCAACGCCAGTATTTGTCGTGATAGATAGACTTTGGAGGTTAGGGAATACGTGTATTAACATGTCCATGGGGACGAAGTTGTCATCCTCGATAGACAGTGTATGCACGTGCGGATATTGAATGGACGTGTTCTCGAATTGGACCCACCGCACCTTCAGTTGCCTGAGAGAAGAGCTAAAGCTCGCAAGGACCTTATTAGGGTCCAGACAGTCCGCTACTGGAACAGCATCGGCACAGAGCTCCACGGAGTTCAATGGTGAACGCATTCGCGTTAAGACAGACAATGCTTGATCTCCCACACCGTCCAGCGAGAGCTCTCTTATACTTGTCGCCTCGCGTAAGGCAGCTCCCAGCTCAGGTCCAATCTCGAAGAATCGTTCTGCGGCGGATATGGTTACTTTCTCGAGGAATGGTGCATTCCTGAGGACTTCAGCCAATTGGCTGATCGTGTCCTTCTTGCGCAACCAAAATTTCTTGGGAAACTCGACTTCTCGAAGGTATCGTAGACGCGATGGGAATTCGCCAAGGATGAAGTGGCAGAACGATTTCACGTTAAGATGTTTGCCGAAGTATATGGGAGTGTTGACTCTGAGAAGGTGAGGAACTCCCGCTTTGTATAGGGTATGGCATGTTTGCACGTAGGGAAGCAAGCTGCATCGGTCGACGAATTCCATGATGAGGAATAGAACATCCCAGTTGAGGACCATCCTTGGCAGTCCCAAGATACTGTAACTTGATATAAACACATATGCACATAGTGGTCAGAATGAGCAAGATGAGAGTCGTCAACTCACCAGTGCCGTGACATCTCGTCCCGCCACAATCCCAATATTTGTCTGTACAGCCGCTTGATGATCGCTGTACCTTTGGTACAATATTTGCTCTGCAGCACACTCCAACCCAAAGCCGTCAACAACACTTCGTGAACTGCGTTCAACTTCTAGTCGAATGTGCGAGGAAGAAGGGGGGATGATGAGGGCAGAACAGAAGCAGATCAAGGTTGCCGTACGCTAGCTCCTTCAGTCATGATGACCTTCAAATAGCATCCGTGTGCCAGTGCACTCAGGGCGCAGCTGGCTCGCCACTCACTTGCACCTCTCTCAGATTCAAGATATTGGAGATAATTCGGGATGCAATCGCATACGAACTGCGTTCACTAAGCGGGAATCAACTCACAGCCAAGGGATGACCCCATTCCTGTACGCCGCCAGAGCCTCGCGGAAAGGAATGGCGCTGAGGAAAATGCTACTTACGAAAATCCGAGGAATGCAATTTTGGACGTCGAGGTCAAATGCTATGAGTCGTAATTCGAAGGATGCTTCCAACGATGGTCGGAATTAGTTCAGATATGCCACACAATTTGCAATTGCTTCAATTGACTTTCATTGGAAATAGTTCTATCCAAGAACAATAAAATAACAAGTCTGGAGCATCCTTCGTGCAACCCGTTACATTCTTTAGGAATGGGTCCAAGTCGGCTTCCTCTTTTCTGCGAATGCAGACATACCTAGCACAAAGAGTCCTGTCAGTATCCCTACGAAGCACAAATGAAGGGGGAAGCACTCACCCTCCTTTTGATCCTTTGTCGCGAACAAACCATGGAACAACTGTCTCTCGAAACCCAATCCCTCAGTCAAGGTCAATTCATACGCCGCATTCACAGCTTCTTTACCGGCCTGAACAGCCAACCGACCCTTGCTTGCAATCCTTGATGCCATCTTGACAGCCTCCTTCACCACCTCACCTTCACCCTCCCCTACCACACACGACACCAAACCCCACGTCTCCGCTTCAGCAGCAGAAAAATTACGACCGGTGAGGACGAGTTCCATAGTCCTGGACTTTCCAATGGCGCGAATGAGACGTTGTGTGCCTCCTCCACCGGGAATCACGCCCAGGTTGATTTCGGGTTGACCAAATATGGCCGTGGGGGAAGCAAGGATAATGTCACACATGAGGGCGAGCTCACAGCCACCTCCGAGCTGCAGATAGAATCAAAAATGGTCAGTGGGCGGCGATTTTCAGGGGGTGTAACGTTTGGAGCGTACCGCGTATCCACTAACTGCCGCAATGATGGGCTTGCGTAGTTTCGCGAGATGACCCCAGTTCTCAAGGAACCTGGTCTGGTAGACTTCCGCGACTTCAAAGACGAATTATCAGCATTCATTCTTCCATGCTCACTCGGAGTAGAAGCATGACGCACATGTCTTGTCTTTCATCTCTTTGATATCAGCTCCAGCTAATAGGCCATGTCAGTTAAGAGTCGGTAGCCGCTAGATTGCTTGAAGCGTACCTGCAAAGGCCCTCTCGCCACCAGTGAGAACCAAAGCACCGACATCGTGGTCTGCATCGAGTTCAGCAGCAGCCTGGTTGAGCTCAATGAATAGGGGTGAGGAAAGTGCATTCAGCGCCTTCGGTCGGTTCAGAGTGATGAGACCAACACCCTTGACAGGCTTCGACACGATGAGATACTCGTATTCTTTCGTTGCAATCGACATGGCTCGAACTTGTAGACGCAAGTAAGGTGAGGTGTGAGATCGCAAAGTGCTTGAGGGTGCAGCAGTCGCTCGGAAAGAGGGTCGGAGGAACCTAAGAGACATCTTGCAATGGCGGATGTTATAGTGGTATCCTTATGGAATATATAGAACGTATGGACTTGTGAGCAGCTGCGTGGGTGGCACTTGTCCTATTTCAACACGCCCTTCCGCACTGAGTGCTGAATAAGGTGATGGGATGAGGAGACGGGTGAAAAGCTTCCGGAAGATATTGAATGGGAAGATGAGCTTGTGTTCTAGCATGTGGATATGCGTCATGTACGGATACGCGTCGGAAGGCTCAAATGACCATAAGCTTTGTACCTTTCCCTGCATGTTCATCTTTTTGAACGATCCTCAAGTCTACTTGTCGTGCATCGTTTAACTTTGCAACAAGTCCTGCTGTTCACCTTATGCAGCGGGCCCTAACTTTGATAGCCACTTTACGAAACCAATTCCTTGCATGACTGAAAGGTTTGCGCGACAAGTCGTTGTAGACAGTATCTCAGACTCTACGAAGAACGTTTGTCTTCCCAGAGTGTGCTAGAGTACGTCGAGGACGGTACCTGTCTAATGTTGTGGTGAAAAGCAAGACGTCACCGGGAAAGGCAGTGGAATAAAGCCGGCCCAGGCTATCGGAAAGTTCACCCGATCACTTGTCCAGACTTATCCTGCAGGCATATTACCATTCTATGACATATTCCCAGCCAGCCCAGACGCATTATCGTGCTCTTCAATAGGAGGCTCAAGTACTCGTTCAAGTTGTTTCAATATTCGTTCCCACAACTCCTCCCACATTGTCGCAACGAGAAGAGCACACGGGTCCTGCAAGTGTCACAGTAACCTCGAGCTCGGATCTAAGTGAGACGTTACCCCAGATCTTACCCCGCATTCGCAATCAGTCTTCTCCGAACTTGGTTCACTTTCGGCCTTGAAGATCTAAAGCTTTGAAGAGTCACTTTTGAACTTGATAGACCACTGCTATGTTCACTTCACGTGTAGCTCGTTCTCTCGCGGCCTCCAGTCGCATTCGCCTTGCACGAACTGCCTATGCGAAGGCGCCGATTCTTCGTGCATACGCTACAGTACCTATTTCTGAATCTGACCCAGACTACGTCACAATCGTTGAAGTCGGACCTCGGGATGGTCTACAGAACGAGGAAACGATTGTCTCTGCCGACTTGAAGGTCGAGCTCATTGAGAAACTGGCGCGAGCTGGTTTGACGCATATCGAAGCTGGCAGTTTCGTGAGTCCCAAATGGGTTCCACAGGTAAACAATCATTTCACTGCGGTCGGCTGTGCATTGAACATCGTTTGTATGTCTTCTAGATGGAGGACACCATAGAGGTCATCAACAAGATGGAAAGACTTCCAGGCCGTCATTATCCTGTACTGGTGCCCAATATGAAAGGTCTCGACAAGCTCCTGGAGACACTTGCACGTCATCCCAAGTCGGCACCATCACCTCCACCTACGGACGAGATTGCTATCTTTTCCGCCGCGTCGGATGTGTTCTCAAAGGCAAACACCAATTGCACAGTTGCGGAAGGCTTGGCACGTCTTGAGCCTGTAGCCAGAAAAGCGCTGGATAATAACCTTCAAGTTCGAGGGTATGTTTCCTTCAGTCAACAAACTGCATTCTCTTTTGTTTCTAACTCGATCGTTTTGACAGATATGTGAGTGCCGTCATCACATGCCCATATTCTGGCAAAGTGGACCCCAAGAAAGTAAAAGATGTCACGAAAGCGTTGCTTGACATGGGCTGCTACGAAGTTAGTCTGGGTGACACAGTCGGGACCGGGAATCCGACCTCCATATACACCATGTTGGACGCTGTCATGGGCGGAGCCTATGCAATTCCCCCATCGAAGCTCGCAGTAAGCTTGTTCCTGTCTCGTACCATTTTACTAACTAACCGAGGCATGTTTATAGGCTCATTTCCATGACACCTTCGGCTCAGGAGTAGCCAACATCTTGGTAGCTCTCTCTATGGGAATACGCACAGTCGACACAGCTGTCGCCGGTCTCGGTGGATGTCCATATTCTCCAGGTGCAACTGGGAATGTCGCCACAGAAGATGTGATGTACGCTCTCCGTGGAAGCCAATACACTTATCCCGGAGACTTGGAAACGATCGCGGATATTGGGGCTTGGATCTCTGAAAAATTGGAGAAGGAGAATGGTAGTCGTGCTGGGAAGGCTATCCAGGCGAGGAAGAAGGAGGCGGCGTTGATGAAAGAAAGGGAGAGGGACGGTGGTGATGTGGAATCGATTGCTGCTCATGAAATAACTCCTTTGCCGTAATCGCCAGCACGGTGCGTTTGTAGGGTGTTGGGTTTGGATTTGGACATTATATCGGTGTATATGAAACAGATCGTCTGTATACTAGTACAGTACCATGCTAAAACTCGGATTGTATCTCTAAGTTGAAGTTTGTGAAGACACCTTCAGGATACCGTGGGAAAAGTACAAGTTGAGTCTAATCCTAGCCGAAACATTGACTTTTCTCTCTTGCACTCACCTGCTACTCTCCAGCCTACTGTACACCATCCTAATCTTCACATACTAATCACCCTCTATCATATTGATGTCTTAATACGTTGCTCGCTGGTCGACCATATTTTCAACATGCGGCTCCCGAAATTGGTCTCGCAGTTCTTCCACCGTCGCTCAAAGTCTGATACACACCTAATCCTTCATCGTGCACCCAAACCTCCACAAGCTCCTATTCGCCCTGTCTCTACGTCGTTTCTGGACAATTGGACTCTCGATAATGAAGCCCTTGTTACTTCTGGGGCTGCTTTCATGTCTGAAATCTTAGGCAGTATCTCTACCGAACCTGTCACCCTTATGGCACCGCCGCCTACGGTGGCACCCTCTGCACTCTGCCTGCCAGCTGCTGAGGCCATTACTGTGAACGACAACCTGGAGACTGGCCCATGGCTTGCCCAAGCATTCTCGCGTGAATCGGTCATTTCGTTGCAGGACCCCGTTCAAGAACTCGAAGTCAACTTCAACTCCGAGCGGGAAGCGAATATGCGCCTTGAAAATCTGGTCTTATCTCTCGAGTCCGCTTTAAAAGCCGAAAGAGAAGCACACTTGGAAACTCTCGAAGTGAATAAACTTCTCTCAAGCGAAGTCACCGAACTCCAAGCGGATGTCATAAACGTACGCGGCGAACTTTTCGCTGTCCTCAAGCAACAGCTACGTTCCTCACCAAGTGGAGACAAAGATATCTTGTCCATCAAAGGAGAGAATGCACGGTTACGCAAGTTCGCCTCACTTATGGTCACCGCGTCTGCTCACAAACCAGTCTTGGAACTCGCCTTCCGACGTACACTGGACGGAGAAGACCCTGAAGAAGCAGTCGTCCATGCAATCAAAGACGAGATGGACAATATGGGTAGCGTCTGGCGCGCGTTACTTGAACCTATTGTTGGTCAACGGAGTCCAGATGACTATCTGGCTCAAGTTGATTGTACACTGAAAGCCCGACGGGAAGCTCGCGACTGGCGGAAGAAAGCTAGGTTCTGGAAGAACAGTGCCAAGGAAGGAGAAAGACATGCTGCTACTGTCACGCCGTCCGTTTCTGCGCTGTCGGACGTTGTGGACGAACTTCCTCCGGAGCGGCAGAAAGTCGTGGATGAGATGTTAGCCAAGCTCCGCAACGGCACTCTCCCGCTGAAGAGACAAACTTTGGTTCGTCAGAGTTCTGTCTCTACGTCAAGGTCAGCCTTAGAAGGACCGCCTATTTCCCCGGACCCTCGAGTAGTTCAAAAACGAAGCAGTCGACCGCCGTCTGCTGTTGTCTCCGTCCCAACCCCACTTTCACCAATCACAGAGTCAACGACCGAAATCGAACCGATTCCTTTAGCATCTTTGAAGACGGCTCCGGCTCCTACTACAACAGACGAGCTTCCAGCGATGACTACTACGCCTTCACATTCAGTACCCTCCTTGCGCCCACGATCTGTGTCCCTTCCCTTGTCTGTGTCTACATACAACAACCTCGCTCCACTCGCCAGCATCTCTTTCCGCGAAAGTCACTCCATCAAAAGTGTGAAGAGTGTCTCGACTCGCAGGCATAGCATTGCTTCTCTTCGAGTACTTACACCGTCGGCGTCCTCGGCGTCTCAGGATAGCCAGGCGTCGAAGAAGTCCGCCCGGAGGAGAGTCAAGGTCCTTGCTGTGTCGGTTTCGAAGAAGTCTGTGGATGACGACGTGCAGACCTCTCCCAGTAATAATGATCTTCCAAAGACTGAAGCTGAAGGTTCACCTACGCCCGTGCCTATGGAGTCTATTCCTGTTGAGGAGGCGAAGCAAGACTTAGGTTCTTCGGGTCAAGAGTCATCTCGTATCGCATCGCTTTCGTCCTCTGTGAGAAGCGCAAGTACGACGCGACCTTCAGTCTTCAATAGCAAACGACGCTCCTCATCCTCAACATCAACGTCGACTGCTTCTTCTCCGCCTACCACTCCCATCAAGTCATTCTTCACGTCCAAGCACTCCACACCCTTCAGATTCTCAACGCCAACCAAGCTTCGCCGCAACACCCCTCCCAGCCCACTCTCAACACCACCAGCTACTACTACAAGCCCATCCAAGAAGTCTCCATCCAAGCTACCCGTTCTGAAGATGACCTCGATTCCTCGATCTATTCGTAGAATGTCTATATCGAAGCCGGTGTTGATGGATACGACAAATGCTGCTGCTTCTATCCCTGAGGGCGATGGTGTGGTGTTTAGGAGGAAAGGGCAGAATGTGGATATGGGGAAGGTGGGAAAGATGGGGAAGGATGTGAAGAGTACTAGTGTGAAGGGTACCAGTAAGCAACAGGTGCTTTCGCCGAAGCGACTCGGAAAGCAAGTGGGAGGTTTGAGGAATGTCAGAAGCTGAGGTTTTACATAGACCTTGGCTTGATTGCGAGACTGTTGTAGAATACTGAATCTCGTATCATCGAGTCTGCCTTCTATCCAATCGTCTCAGGCTCTATATAATGCATGTGCTGATGAGTATCCACGAATGTGCCCATGAAACGTTACAAGTTGCAGTGAGTGATTTCTTGTCTGTTTGTATAGACTTGGTTGGACAGAGGCCCATGGCGAGCAGTTTGCCATTCCACTCATATGCGTACTTACAACGACTCGACTCAACTTGTATCATGTCGTCCGCACGATCTGTATGCAGAATTGATCAAGTTGTAAGCCATGTCTAGCATGGTGTTACAGCTGGATTTCAACACAGACAGGTTTCGCTAAAGACTAAAGACGAGGTATTTCTTGATCACAGCATAGTACCGAAAACATTCAGAACGAGAAACGTCACCAACGGGTGGTTGCATTGGTCCTAACTAGTCAACGTCCGGGGATGTACTGCGACAACCAGAGCACCGTTCAGCACGCCCTCGCCTCTCTTCTCCACCCAACGCCCAAATTTCGTCTCCTGACCAACACCTGCGACCAGCAATAATGATTTCTTCGAGGAGGAAGAAGAAGAGGCAGCGGGTGCATGACCATTGATAACAGGCGCTGCATTAGGTCCATCTTTCGGATCTTGAGATGTAGATGACACCCAAGGGAAATGCTCAATTTTGTCTCGAGGAGCGGTGAGGATCTGAATGGAGTTCACGACGCCAAGAGCCGGTATCGACCCAACCAGCGAGAATGATCTCATTTTCGAGTCGACCTTCCACAGCCGGATTTCGCCATCCCAAGAACCGGAAGCGAAGAGATCTGAATAGCGTAAACAGCCCAAGGCTGTGACCCAGCGAGGTTTACGAACGATCTCGACGTCTTCTGTTTCCACTTGGGACTCGTCCATGCCGTGAGCGAGCGCCTGTGTGAATATTGGTTTTTTCTTTTGCGTTGCCCAGAGACAGATGGACCTGTAAAATTATACAACATGTTAATTAACCCTCCTGGGTGAGAAGCTCACGATGGAAATGAAATACATACCCGCTATCACCTCCACTGACGAAGGTGTTTTCATCGATCATCGCCACACACTCAATACTGCCCTCAATGAATTTCTCGGTCTTGCCCGTCCCTCTTCGGGTCTTTCCCTCTCCCTCTCCATCAACGTCCATATCGTTATCCAAACCACCGGCCAGGAGGTCTTCCCACCCACTTCGACCGCCTCCCCGGAATACCAACTGGCTCTCTTCTGGTATCTTCCAATACCTGACGCTCTTGTCCCTCCCGCCTACGCTCACCGCCGTTTCGCGCATTAATGCATCTATGGCCAGTACCGGTGCTTGATGCCCGAATAATGTCTCGACGTAGCCCATTGTGGTGGGAGCAAGGTCGAATAATTTTAGTGTGCGATCGAAAGAGCCGGTGTATAGTTGACTCGGCGGAGTAGATGTCGCTGTTTTGGAAGCTTTCCGGAAAGCGAGACTCTGAAAGCGTGGGTTAAGTTGAAGAGCCAAAGCTATAAGTGGACAGAGAAAGAAAGACGCACAGATATACTGTCTCGATGTCCACCAAAACCTTTCACCCACTCATCCTTCTCTACGTCCCATACACCTATTCGTCGGTCCTTGCCACCACTTGCAAGTAGCCGACCATCTGGACTCAAAGCAATCGCCCAGATTTCATCTGAATGACCTTTTAATTCAGCAGCAGGCTCAGCTTTCGCCTTGCCCTTACCCTTATCTTTGACAGGGCGGGCTTTGTGAAAGACATGCGATTTGCGACCAGTGCTGAGATCCCATTTGATGATAGAAGCATCTTTGCTTGAGGTATAAAACCAGCGAGCATCTTCTGAAGCAACGGCTGCTGTTACGGAGAACCGATGTCCGCGTGTCTTCAATGTTGGCGTGTTAGAGAAGTCATACTGAGATGCTCGTGTTAGGGGACGCCGCAAGAAAGGAAACGTACGAGAACTCACGTTGTCGGCAATGAAGAGATGCAGTTTCCCAGAGTGTTCCATTACATCTTGCTTGAGCCGGGCGGATATAAGCTCTTTGTCAATTTCAGCAGCGTCGTATTCGCCATCAGCTGCGTAGACAGGTGCATGGTGAACGTGAGTTGAGACGTATAAAGAGCCCCAAGAGACGCACCTAGAGTAAGATCCTGCTTCACACTCTCCAAGTATAGCTTCGCCAGTCGAAGACGCTTTTCGGCAGGTGTCTCGTCTTCGTCCTCTTCTCCACTCTCATAAACATCGACATCCGGTGCCCTCAGGTCCATCTCATCGACACCACCCTCATCCCCTTCTGAAGTCGCATCCGAGAGTTCCTCATCTCGAACGCTTCGTTTTGACTTGATATTGGCCTGCCCTGAGCCAAACTTCTTACCCTTCGCAGTGAACGGTTTGCCATTCGTACTGCGATCAGGTTTTTTGGAGGTTGACGGTCCATCTTCTATAGTATTGGACCTCTTGCGTTTCCTGGGTTTGTTGGTGCTAAAGAACGGGTCTGGCATAGCGGAGACAACCTCCCTTCAGAGAGCTTTTGACAGTAAGATACAGCAAGTTGAGACCAAGTTCACACAACCTAAAGCAGAAATTTTGGAATTGGTGGCGCACGTGGAAAGACGCGTGAACCTTAACCATCACGAGATCGATAAATTGGACACGCGAACAGCTGCTAACACAAGCGGTGCGCCTCGAGCTCAGGTATCCGGATGCCTTTCGCTCGCACTGCCCTTTCGCACCGTCGTTTCTTCTCCAAGACCGCCAGCCTGTCGCGTTTGGACTTTTCTCTGGCTCACGGAACTCGTTTAGCTCACACAATGCGCCCTCTCACCCCTTCGGATCTTAACCCCGCCGTCATCGATGTGCAGTACGCTGTCCGAGGAGAGCTTGCCATCAAGGCGGAGGCCCTCAGAGTGCAGCTGGAGAACAAGTTTCATGGCCTGCCTTTCGAGAGGATCATCAATTCCAATATTGGTAACCCTCAGCAGAAAGGTTTGGACCAGCCGCCGATTACTTTCGGCAGACAGGCGAGTCATTTTCCCTGTTGACTTTGTTTTCTGTGCAAATGGATAGGAGAGAAATGTCGTTGCAGCACGAAGGGATTTCTAGTGCCTAGACTTACAAAAAAATGAAATGCACTGGGACAGTTGGTATACAGTCATTCGCATGCTTGATACCATCTGTCGCAGTCATCCTTGGCTGTCGTTACTTGCAGAACCACGCTGTACATGTTCTCATGTATCTTTCACTGTCACGTCTTATCTTGATTCTGATTGGTATCGTCCCCATTACTACAATGTGTATCTTCAACGATCAGATTGATTGATACCCAAGTATGAGTTCACGACGAGTTGGAGGGCAATACGGTGTAAAGTAGTTGGCACCGGGACATCCTGGACTCCAATTTGCTTTCCCCCTTCCCTCACCCTCTTGACTCGATTCGCGCGCTCATGCATAAACTTCGCAGGTTGCAGCTCTCATGGAGTACCCTCCGTTGGCTGAAATTGTCAAGGATATTTGGCCAGCTGATGTTCTTGCGCGAGCCAAAGAACTGCGGGATGAAATTGGCTCAGTCGGTGCCTATTCCCACAGCAAAGGCGTTCCACTCATCCGGAAGAGCGTCGCCAAGTTCATCGAGGGTAATCCTCTTACCTGCCCGGAATTAATCGGCTTTCTCAATCTATGATTTTTTTCAGAGCGTGACGGTTATCCAGTGGATCCTGAGGACATCTTCCTCACGGGTGGAGCATCAGCAGGAGTGTCCTTGCTGCTCAACATGCTGATCACGCCAACCAAAAGTGGTGTTTTGATCCCGATACCACAATACCCTCTCTATTCCGCAGCGCTCGCTCAATTCTCTGGCATCCCCCTACCCTATCATCTTTCCGAGGTAGACGGCTGGAGTACCTCTCTTCACGAGATCAGAGCGGCAATTGAGAAGGCCGAGAAAGATGGCGCGCATCCTCGCGCCCTTGTGATCATCAATCCCGGAAACCCAACCGGTGCCCTCCTCGACTGGGCAACGATGGAGTCCATCGTCCATCTCTGTGAAGAACACTCCATCGTTATCCTCGCCGACGAAGTCTACCAAAGCAACCTTCACAGCCCAGACACACACCCTTTCCACTCCTTCAAACAAGTCGTCCGTCGTCTCAACTCTCCAGTCCCGCTCTTCTCCTTCCATTCGATAAGCAAGGGTGTCACCGGCGAGTGCGGTCGTCGCGGTGGCTACTTTGAGTGCACCAACATCAGCGACGAAGTTCGTGCACTCATCTACAAGATGGTCAGTGTCGGCTTATGTCCACCATTGTCCGGCCAAATCGGTGTGGATTGCATGGTTCGCCCACCCCAACCCGGAGATCCTTCTTACCCACTCTGGAAGACGGAGACCGACTGCACGCATGCCGCTCTCGCCCAGCGTACTAAGTTGATGGCCCAACGACTCAACGCACTTCCCGGCATCTCATGTGTTACTTCCCCTGGCGCTCTTTACTTGTTCCCAAAGGTTGAGCTTCCCGATGCGGCGTTGAAAGAAGCGGAGAGATTGGGCAAGACGCCCGATACTCTGTACTCTTTGGAGTTGTTGGATGAGACTGGTATTTGCGTTGTCCCCGGCTCTGGATTTGGACAGAAGGATGGGGAACATCACTACCGTCTCACGTGCCTTTGCCCTGGTGTTGAGGAGTATGTCGATGCATTGGAGAACTTCCACTTGCTGTTCATGAAGAAATACGGGGCGATAAATTGATTGCCCGCCACACAGTAACAGTAATAATGTAGCAGGTTGATTGGTCATTTTTCACTGGCTTCACTCGTTCAGAACGCTTGCATTCTTCTTGGGCACGATGGTTCAGCACGGCTAATTGAAGTACACAACCTCCACTCATATAATATTATCTGCGCTCCAGTATGCCTGCATGCCATCTTCGAACATCCCAGGGGACAAAGACGCAAGCAATCGGAAAGCAACTAGACACAGATACTATCAACAGCACGTCGAGACAAGCATATAGTAGGACTAAGACAATACGCGAAACAAAAAATGTTTAAGTACGAGGTGGTATCAATCAGCGCTGCTAATACATATCGAATCCCGTCCCATTCTCATTCAACGTCCGATGTTGCATGGAAGGATGAGTAGAAGGAATGTTAGGCTGAGACGAAGTCGCCATACTCTGTAACGACGAACAACAAGACCCAATCACACGTGTTTCCGAAGCCGGAGCACTATGAACTGAAGCGAGCGACGACGACGAGTGCGAATGTTGGCTGGAAGCACGGGATGATGTCGAAGATGCTCGGCTGAGCGTCGTATTCCTATGGCTTGTCAAAGAAGGGTGACTCCAATCTCCAGGCATCAAGAGAGTCGAACTCGAGGCGACGTTATGAGCGTTCGTCAAACGATTGACAGATCTTGTAGTGTTGGGTCCCCCACAACACGCATCTCTTTCGCCAGACACAGCGAACGTCACCCTATCCCCCGAGTCTTCATGATTACAATCCGCACATGTGCACCCCTGACAGCATCCACAACAGTCTGCCGCGCAATTACACATCCCTGGAGGACACTTGCACCTCCCACCGCAACATTCCTCTGGTGCCGGCTGAGCGTTAGTCTGGTTTTGCAAGTTACTCCAGAGCGCATACGATTGCCAAAGCGCCGGGTTAAATGGCATGCTTTGGAAATCGGAAGGCGTCTGAGGTGAAGGGTACGGTGGACTAGAACTCGAAGACCCAGAGGGAATTGAATTTGTGGCAACGGTGGTGGGGTCTGGAACAGAAGACAATTGGCGAAACCACTCATCCAGACTCTCCGGTGTCTCAAACGGTGAGAAATCTTGCGCAGCGGTGGTCGTCTCGGAAAGTGGGAGCGCAAAAAGGTTACAATTCGCACAGGCAAAGCATGCTCCCGGGTTGTTGCAAGACTGGAATGCGGATGGGTCAAATGTAGGTCCCCGGTGAATAACACAACCCGGACACGAGCAGTTGGGACCACAATTGCAAAGATTAGACATGGAGCTATCAGCCGCCGTCAAGAAGCCCAGTATGGAATCATCGGCATGGGGGAAGGTCATGGGCGTAGGTGATGGTGTGCTGACAGAATGCTCGGGGGCAGTATGGAACGTAGATGGTCCAGGCATGGCTTCGACGCCGTGAGCGTACTCGTATGCACGACCGTACGGACTATAAAGATTCTGATTGTGTACTTGGTGGCGAGAGCCATGCGATGCGGGGGAAGGGCGATGCACAGGACCAGCAGGTGACGCTGGACGTTGAGGACTGGGACGAGGCAGTACAGGTCGATGACTGCCCGAGTTTGCAAGGTCGACAAGACCAGCGGGACGCGAGACTGGCGTGCTAAGGCCGCCGTCAGGCTGGGTGGTGTCGCTACCTGCGTTGACAGGAGCCATTCGATCTTTGCCCAGTCTTCGACTGCGAGACGTAGGGACGCGAGGTATGCAACAGTCACAAGACCCATTATCCTTGCAACCACATTGGCTGGACGAAGGACCTGCGCCTGAATGAAGCTAAGCTATAGAGTTAACTAAATGGTAGATGGAACTTACTACTATACTCGGAGTCGGAGCTTTCAGATAAAAGCTGGAGTGCGACCGACGCTTCCATAGCTTCTGGCAAGCCAGCGGGAAACACAGCGCTCACCGGCACCTTCTTACCTCCTATGGATGTCCATAACCAAAGCAAGCCTTATCGGTCAGCTGAAGCTCCGATGAAGACGATGAAGTAGAAGTCTCACCTCTACTCGACGAGCCTTCGCTTTCATCCTTCTGCTCACAGATACATTTGACGTGGACTTGTCTGGTCTTGCGAAGCTCGCGACAGTGCTCGCATTGAGTCACTGGACGACCCTTCTTCTTGATTTCAAACAAGGGTCGGTCGGTGTGTTTGCATGTCGACGACCGATGACCCTTTATGCACGTTTCACTAGAAGCTCATTAGTAAAGCAGCGCGACGATGATGACTTCCAACAACATACCATGCGTATTTCCTGTCACCTACAAAGACCTAGCAAACATCAAGTCAACAAATTATATTAATGAGAAAGCCCGACATACCATGTTTGCCGTAGAAAGTGGGTGTATGCAGTTGATGATTGAGAAGGAGGGTACGCCCCGGATGCACTGTGGGAGACAGGAGGCCTCCCTGGCCCCCGCGACGCCGACAGAGGCGTTACTGGAACACTGGCAACGCTGCGTATGAGAGTTGGTCTATGTCAAGAAACTTCATGGGCAAGCTTATAAGAGGAGACAAAACGGAAAAGGAGGAATAGCAGGGAATTTATACCTACCGTCACTATCCAGACTTGGATCTCTTCGGAACACCCGGAGCGACCTGTCACGCTCCCCTTGTGTCACACGATCACGTGCCCCGTTCGCGGCGTCGCGTTCAAGTCGCAAAATTCGCTCGACATGAGGCTGCGTATCCTGCCAGTGCTCCTGAACGCTCCTGATGATTCTCATCCTCTCGGCCTTGACAACTCCCCGCAGCAGTAGGTTTGAAGAATGATCCCACTCTCAAGATATCGCCCCGGAGTCACTCGTCTGTCTCCCAGATACCATCCTGGTCAACTGCATATCAATGCATGAACAGCCGCGTTGCATCACTCCACACGAGCATATGTCTCAAAGGTTCCCCCATCCGTTTTTGAAACGCCGCACCATATACCAGATCCAGGGTAGCGGCTGCAGACCGCCAGAAGGCCCTATTAAGTATTCCTGTAACATAGGACGACTCTATGGGAGCTTCTTCTCGATCAATACATTAAGCCCGTCGAATATGGAACGGACATCGGAGGTCTTCTACTATCGCCTTCAACACGAGGCAAAGCCTCACCATCTACAGAACTCTAAGAAGACAGCGGGTTGCCTCCTGCTCTCCGCCACACATAGGTGTGAAAATAGGCCGGTGCAATCTCTCTATCGGAAGCTTTTCTTTCTGTAGCATGCATTCAAAGAATCGTACCCCTCTATTTCTATCGTAGCAAATCCTGTCTGGTCAAGTGTTGGCCAGCATGCATATTAATACACCCTTCTTTGCTAAACGTGTTTGCTGCCAACTCCTAAGTTAGGGCGGATCTTGGCTATTTTTTCGCAGTTTGACTGTATTGATCGTTCTATCAGGCTCTGCGCTGATGATAAGTATGGCATCTTTCTAATCTTGCAAAATGAGATCCTGGCGGCAGGGGATCTCGAACCTTGTAGCTTGTGCTGCGCAGTCTGAAGGCACTATGTTTATTCTGGGTACCATTGAAACGCAGAAGTTGAACCTCTGTATACGATCTTCGGTAGAATCAGCTATCGTGTACTGGCTTCAAGGCTTGTGCTAAATAAAAGTGATCTTTTTATGGACTTTTATCCTTCCGATCGCACAGACCAAGTAGTATGATCGACGTCATTGTCCTGAACAAACCTCGATCATTCGGTAGCGCGCTCGAACATTCCTTGTCCACAACCCCCTCGTCCAGTGTTCCGAGTCCGATTCATCTCAAGTGCAGTAACATAACCGATCAAGAAACGTACTATTGTTGACAAAACTTCGTCGAACTCCTATATCTTGCAACATGTTCGGATGCATAGTGGCAGGGCGATCCCTCCAGACTGAATTGAATCAGATAGACGAAACGCATGCAGCCTTCGAACTTCCAGCAGCAGAGCAGATCAATCACATTTGCGTCTTTCTATTAGGAACAGGTAAGTCATACTCTCTGACTCCATTTTCATACGAACTATCCCAACTCTGGATCCTAACCTTTGTCTCCCCTCAGTTCCTTTTCCTGATGGATACGGCGCGTCGGTGCACTTCTTTTGGCCCGGGAAGGGTTTCCAACTTCTCGGAATGTGAGCATCTTCCCTACCACATTCAATGCTCTCTTCTTCAACTCAAACGATGTTCTATGTCTATTTCTGCAGGCTTTCGAATGAGAAACCATCTGCCATCTTCCGGCTCCGAGGAACGTTCACAGGTCAAATCACCGATGCACATGCTGTATTCAGCGGGGCCAGTACACCCATGGCAACAGACGGTACACCCATGACCGACGGTCTACCCAGCGTAACAGCTATCCTCGGATTAGCTATCGAACCTCTTCCCGCTATCCTGGACCAAATGTCCAGCCTTCCTACAGCAGCAATTGTAGCAAGGAGTTGTACACCGGCGTTGCCAGATGCGACGATACTGGCGGAAAATATCGTCAAACATCTATTCAACTATATCTCGAGTTTCGTCAGTGGGACTGCAGTGACACCGGAGACTCCAGTTCCGTTGGCTATCATTGCTAGATGGTACGAGTCATTCATTGGGAAGGTCCGGAATGTGGGGATTGGTTTTTTGGATACCCTGGAATAGGAAGATGTGAAGTGTCTGCTTTCTACGGTACCATGGGATTGGGCAGTTTATATCGATGATATCCTGTATTATAGCTGAGACATAGCGTCATTTTCTCATAATGACAGAACTTTCAGACATATCCTGAGTGTACATATTGTTCAAATTTCATCTCCTCTGGCCCTCAGACAAAAGGACGAGCTTCGAGATAAGATTAGATTTTCATCTTCATCATCTTCGCAAGACCTCGCAAAACAGCTTCGGTCGCGATTTCTCTTTCCTGAACAGCTATCCTCTTCTGGAGATGCTCATTAGTTTTTGCCCGGTGTGACATACTATGGTCTTACCAATTGCGCTTTTCCATCCAGGGGCTATGGGCGCCCGTGTTGTAATGCAAGAATACGCCACCGTCGCGCCGCTGTCATACTGTTCCTGTTCGAGACGCATGTCCTTTCTTGTAGAAACAGTTCTGCCCATCATGCGTTTGCTTTTCTGAACGCGATCATGATAGGAAGACGCGAAATCAAGTTCCTTCTTGTTTATTGACCGTGCTGGAATTTCGGGTTTCACCTTGACAAGGTAAGTCTGCAACTTAGGTATCCAAATATTCAACTAAATATTCCTCGATGTCTCATAGAGAATACTGTAGTTTTACGACCGTAGCAGATGTCACAGGTCACCGAGACCAAATTGTCTGCTATTTACCCTACCTGTCACAGCTCACAAGGGGTCTGTCCGCCGTGTGACAGGGTTTTCATGAATGCTCCATTTTCGCCTTTTTTCTTTGCCTGCAGTGCAGAGTAGGGCGAAAGAAATATTTTATGTAGCTAGAATACATGCTAATCATCATAACGAGCCCAAACAGCATTATCATCAATAAAACAGTAATGCAAGCATCAATAGTGGCCATTTTCATCCAGCCAAAAGACAGATGCCAAAGTATCGAGAATGCCAAGCGGATGGTGTCACACCTCACACAAGGGCTGTCCGGCCATTTCCAGGCTGCACTTCACGTCACAAAAATTTCGCCATCCGCTACGGTCATAAAACTACAGTACCCTTAATTGAGGATGTAGTGAACCATTACAACTTTGTTAATGCTCTCTGAGAGTTCTTCCAAGCCTCTAGTTTTGAACTAGTTTCTCTGTTCTCATTATCAATGAGGAGCCTCCTTGGTGAAAAATGAGAATAGAGAGACTGGATAGATGGAGAAGATCATATGTCCCATGGACATCTACAATATATGAAACCTCTGATAATAGGCACTCTTTCTGCATATAAGAAGTCTTTTCTTTCAGAACTTATTGTTTCCCATCCCTATTTTCTTGCTTGCAACTTTCTGTCTCTGAAGTTGACCCTGTGAGTGTTTACGTTACCCAAATTGCACTTTCCAAACTGAAGATATGAAGCAGACCATTTCTGTCATTGAATGACTTACTCATTCATTCATTACCCACTTCCTGATCATGCATCTCCTCACTGTGTCACTTGTTTCTATATGTGCTATACTGGATATGGCAGGGCTACCAGCTGCGTAAGAGATTGCTCATTCAATATCACTACTATAGGCATCTGGCTAACCTCTTTTGCACATAGGTCAGTTTGTGCTTGGATGATGACTGAGTCTTCAGTCGCATTACCAAGCATAATATCTGTGCTAACTCCTGCCACAGTAAAATGAGTGATAGATATGCCGGAAGCCTTCAGCAACTTTATGTGAGTGACGGTACCTCATTCAAGTTGGTAGACACAGAACTAATGTAGACATGGCTCAGTGTGAGCTTAGTGTTATAAGCACTGTTGTCTGCCATCATGAGACAGATTTTACTGACTATACATTGCCCAGGGCTTTTTTCTAAGTTCTCAATCCTACAACACCTACACCTTACATTACTGGGAGTCTGTGCAAGTATATTTCATATCTTCTTGGTTTTCATCTGCCAGCATCCGCTATGCTTCACCTCTGGCATTGTCAGTCAGAAAATGTGTTTTCTGCAAAGAAGTTTCCAGGTCAGACATTACACCAGGTCTTCTCTGTTGTTCATTTAGGGTGAGAGAGGGTTTTTCTTATAGTCTTACTAGAAAAGAAAACTTAACTAGTTATACCACAAGAGGATGTGTGATAAACCAAGTATAGTGAATACTTAAGCTATGAAGCTTTTGAATTCACTAAGCAAAGAGGGGATAAGGATGTGATAGGATTGATAGATATTACAAAAATACATATAAGAGTACTATAAGCAATAATAAAAGGTAAGATAAAAGAGACACTTTCACTTTCACTTTTAGACTTTAGAATTTCAGATAGTAAGAAGCTTTTAGAATCTATAGGGGCACTAGAAACTTTAAAACTACTGAACTTATCCTCAAAGGGGTATATTTATACATAAAGCATAATAAGATTGTGCACTACTTGAAACAGACTGAGAGCATTGTGAAACATACCAAGACTAAAATAAAACAAATAGACTGAAGATAAAACATAGAAGCTTACCTGTTGAAATATGAACTTGGCACTAGAACTCTTGTTAAAACTTTAGTCTATATTCTAGAATGGCCTATTCACTTCTAGGCCTTTTCTAGAAGTCTCTATAAAGTTCTAAGCTTATTAACTGTGCTCGGTGCTTATTGATCTAGTATAAACTGAACTTGGCACTTACTAAACAAGTGTTTTGAGATCATGTAATCAATCTTGGTCATATATCATATGTTCTTCAATGTATTTAGGACTTGTCAGTGTATAGATCAGCTAGTAGGCCCATATGTGCTTATACTATCTTATTTGAGCCTTCTATCTTATCTAGATGCATAGTTAAGAAGATTGCCAATAACTAAGCAGTCTTGATCATTTCAAGTCTTGATGATGTGGCACTCTTAAACATTGTATCTGTCTCTTAGAAGCTGCATAGGGTTGGTCTTTAAAGGATAAATACTAACACATGCAGTTACTATTCAGTAGATCTGTTGATCAGTTTTTGACTGGTCCAATATGCTAAACTGTCTTAGATTCTTGAACAGTCTATGTACTTGCCTAATGCTTGTACTGTTCTTTATTCTTCAAGGAGTGAAGAAGTGATATGGAAAAAACTTCAATTTTGCTGTGAAACAGATTCAGTATGTATGAGAACACCAATCTATTTTATTTGTACTCATCATTGCTTCTGTTATTAGGATACCTCAATAGAGAATCTGTCAGTTACTTCCTTCGATAAGGAGTTTATAGTGCCAGTTATTTGCATTTTTGAATTCATAGTGGTAGTCACCATTGTGTCTTTTGGGCTAAAGTTCAAATGACACCATGAAGATCAATCTAATAGTGATATAACAGAGACAGTTTGAGTCTCAATAATGCCTTCTTCTGTGTACACTATAGAATCTATACACTCACTTGTCTTGTCACTCATTTATACCCTTGTTTGTTATTTTAATTATACCACTCTTTTTTTGAAATATGTATACTTAGAATGTGAAGAATTCATCTATATACCAGGTATGTTTGGTATATATGAAGTGAATACAATCTAATCTAAGTGCTCATAGAGATTGCTGAAGCCAAAGTCTAATCAAATATTCACTTTCAATGTGGCACTGTTAGATAATGACATTTGACCCTTGAAACTACATATCTTCAGCAGAAAGTGTATTAGTTTCAGAACTGCCTTGATATCAGATAAGTGTCTCTTTGTTTTGATCTGTTAATAACTCTTATTCTTATACTTGTAGGCATCTGAAACTGCCTTATGCCTCCTGCTGAACTTGCCACTTTACTACCTTTAATTGCCACTTTACTGTCTTTACTTGCAATGAAGTCTTCAACAGCAGTTTTCACTTCTTTGGAAGCTCAAAAACCTTCAAGAGCTATAGTGATAGGTGCCTTCTGCTTTGTCAGAGTCATGGTCTTGATTATGGCTGATGGTTTCTTATAGTTCACATTCTTTCTTCTGCAGCATTATTTCAGAGATGCCAATAGAACCTCTGGCACTCATATTGATTATTCATCACCTTCGTCACTTCATTTTGAACAAGCTTCTTTCCCTTCTGGTCATTTATCACCTTCTGCTCAGTTGTCGCTTCCTCATGTCCAATGTTCATCACCCTCAGTTCATTCTACACCTTCATTACCTGCTGTCATTTATCCTCATCAATCATCTTCTTCTTCTATCGCTTTCCAATATGTGGTGTCAGTTTGACTTGGACTGTAGTGAATCATTGTATACTGTCATTTACTGTATATCTTTAATCTTGCTTGTTTGATTATTCAATTGTCTATGTCTCTGTCACTTCTCTCACTTGTATATTCATTCAGTTTAATGATCATTATATGAGTGTATGTCCATGTGCCAAATACTTTTGATATATAATAGCAGAGTCTACAATGTATAAGTCAGCATAGTTTTAAGGGAGTCAAAATGGTACATGCTACATATCTCAATCAGTGTCAGAGCTAATAATTGAGGTGCATCTATAAAAAGAATGAGAACTATATAGAAGGGAGTGGACAGAGCATTAGAAAGGTGAAACAGATATAGAAAGATATCAGGAATGAGTATAAAGGCTTAGAGCTATAGTAAAACAGAAGAAAGAGAATATACCCATAAAAGGGTAAGTAGGTTTGATAAAAACCTTTGTTTAGTATGTCTTGGCAGCTTGGATACCAATACTTCCCCTCAAGCCATGGAGATTTCAACACTTTTCCTCAAGCCATAGAGAGTCCCATCACAGTGGTAAAATGCTTTACTTTTGCACTCGAAAGTGCCTTTGCAAGGGTGTCAGCAGTTTGATCATCAGTGGGACAGTAGATAAGTCAAATAGAACTATCTTCAATGATGTAATGGATGTAGTGATATTGAATATCAATGTGTTTTGTATGAGCATGATAATTTCTGTCACGAGTAAGAGCAATCGCTGATTGGCTGTTACTGTAGAGTAGAGTTGGTTAAATGAGAGGCTGAAAGACCTCACCAATAAGGCAACAAATCTATATTGCTTTCTTTGCAGCATGAGTAGCAGCAACATACTCTGCTTCTGTAGTTGACAGGGTTACTAGTTTCTGTTTCTTTGATAACCATGAGACTGCACCACCATTAATGAGAAAGACATAGTCAGATATGGCTCATCTATAATTCTATGAAGCCCCATCAGCATCGACAAATTCCTTCAAACCTTTGTGATCTCCTTCATAAACA